GTAGCAAACATTAGCATATTACTTTAAATTGAGATAACCTTCTTTTGAGCTAAATTCATTTTTTGAAAAAAAATAGAGGTTTACATTGCTTGGTAAGCTCAATATATTTTTACGCAAAATTGAAATATCGATACTCAAATTAATTAGCGTGTGGATTAATGTTTTAAATATATTATAGTGTTTAGTTAGCAGTCTAGGTACTATCGGAAGAAAGTTTTTGTTGATGAACCAGCATATTGCTGATCTACTATATTTTAGTACTTGGTAAAAGGGCAGAGTACTGAAATAAACTGCAATAGCACATTGGGTATGGTCAGTAATAGTGAAAGGAGTGGCAGACCCTTAGTATATCTAATTTCCTTAACTGTTATTAAAATTTTTTTTAAAAAAATAAGGTCAGAAACTTAAATGGAATGGATAAATAGCAGTTTTGCATAAATTTGTTTTGATATGGATATATTCAGGGATTAAATGATCTGTCACTTTTTACGATAGCAAAAATTCTAGCGACAGTATCTTATCAAACTAATGGTTATCAAAATTACACTGAATGTAAAATATTTAGTTTAACAACAATTTTGCTTAGAATAAATTAAAAAAAACATTCAATTACATTAAAATCATTACACAATCTCAACTGAAGAATGGAATTAAAAAATATTAAGTTTCTTACCATAAAAATAAAAACATAACTGGATTTTTTTTTCAGAACTTGTTAATGAATGTCAGTTTTAATATGAGGCTATTACTACACAAGTTGAATGTGCTGAATGGTCAGGAAAAAATTATGTAATTATGTAAGAAAATGGTAACGTTTTTAATAATTAGCTGACTAATGCAAAAAAAATTTAAAATGTAAGAAATGTAAAAGCAGCAAAAGAAAAATTAAACTTTCAACACTATTTTTTTGCTGCTTCATTACATTAAACTTCGTTTAAAGAAATGATTAGCTAATACAAACTTAAATAAGCTTCATAAAATAAAAGTTTCAGATAGAAACAAGATAACATGAGAACTCGCTCTCTTTTAAATGCCAAACAAGTTTAAATTATCACAGGGAATATGGAATAAAGAAAGAAATACTTATAAGTTAGAGAAGCAGTTTTTTTTTCAGGGACACAAAAGATGCACAGTAAAATAACTAAATATTCAAACCAAAATAATAAATGCAGGGAGACAATTTCTAATGTTCATAAAAAGTAACATATATTCACTTTAAACAAACAAACAGTATCAAAGAATGAAATTTTTGATATACAACAATTTATTACGAAAAACATCTTTTCCTATTTAGATCATGCAGGAATGTTAATGCAAGAAAAAAAACTTAAGAGAAAGAGAAAAATTTATTCAAAAGTAAAAGGATTATTAAAAATCATGCACACAGTAATCCAGTTCTTGATACTCAGAATAAGATAATAAAAGTTAAAAAGAAATATTTAAGAAGATTTCTGTGGTAGCCAAAATTATGGAAATTTCGAAATGTGATTTTTATGCATTAAAAAGCTTCTCTCCTAATAGTTAAATGTTTTTCGAATTTTAATTTTTAGCTTGCTTTTGATCAAAAAAAAATCAAAGTTAAATAATAGGTGCCCTAAAATAAATAGATTTTTAGTTACTTCTATGTTAAAAGAAACTTTAAGGATGCTTGCACATGTATAATAATGTATATTGTAGTCTATATTGTATGCTTGTCTTTAATGTTAGTTGTTTACTAATAGGTTTAATACAATTTCAAAAAAAATTATTTGAAATATACTTTTTAGTTTTAGAAATAACACAATTTTGGTTACCACAAAATATATTTTATCAATAAAAATTACCCACGATAAAGAACCCTTTACAGAAAGTCTTAACGATCTGAACAGATTTTTTTTTTAAAGTTAACCCAATAAAAAATGCCATGCAAGAGCCTTTTCCCTTTTCTGTTTGTTGAAAGAGAAATGAATAAGAAAGTCAGACAAAGAAATATTTTAAAAACATGTTTATTACATCTGAAAATTATTTATAACGACAGTTCAATCAACTGAATGTATTAAAATGACTATTTTTATAGACTAGAAAGATAATATTTACCTTAAACAAAATATCAATAAAAACAGTAGACAAGTAATTAGTTAAAATTTAACAGAACTAGTTTAGTTATACATCAAAACAAAGAAATAATATCATAAATACAATTTAAGATTTCATACAGAAATCTAATTTCAAAATTTCTTGGAATAGGTTACATAAGCAAATATTTACATAAAAAATAAAGAGACTGTGAACAACTTTAACAAAAACTGTGCTATTTAAAAACACTAAAATAGTAAAATATAAAAAATTGCATACGCAAACAGATAATCTATTTAAAAGGAGCTATAACATGTTTTGTGCATTGAAGCAATATAAAATAACAGTTTACAACTAAAATAATATATATGTTAAACATTAATATTAAAAAATAAATATATATATTTTTGAAAAGGTATAAAGAACTAAAACCAAGGAAAATAATGATTATAAAACTTTAAAAAAAGCACCCTTCAGATGTAACATGTGTAGATATGTTACAAATAAAAATGACCAAAAAGGGTCAGACTGCAGAAAATCACTTTCATGTACTTTTTAATGATATAATTCAAAAGTTATAGAAAAATTAAAAGTAACTGAAAAAATTCAAGGAAAAATAATTATTAGAAGAAAAAAAGAAAAGAAAACAATATTCGTTGCATGAGCAAACACTTTCTTTTTAGGTTAAAATAATTCTTTTAGGTGAAAAATTTTCTTTTTAGGTTAAGTTATCATAAAAGAATCCCTCATTATAAAGTAATAGTTATAGTTTTTATATAGTTATTTCACATTCAGTAAGAAAATTGTGTACACGTTAATTTGCTTTACAATCATCAAAAGTAAAAACAAACTTTAAATATTCCTTAAAAATAATTTTTATAATTATGGCTAATTATTTTTAAATTTTATTACAATTATTTGAAACCTAGAAAATTAAACATTTGATTAATATAAAACTGACTTATACTCATTTTGGGTGAGTATAGACTTATGCAACTGACTTTTATTTTCAAAGATTACAAATGATGTATTTCATTATTTTTGTATTTCATTATTAATATATACTTTGTAAAAATTTGAGAGAATTTCTCTTGAGCCATACTATCAATTTTGACATAAAGTAAATACTATAGGCATACTTTTAAATCATATTCCACAAGTTGAATAATTAGTTTTACTATGTAACAATGATTTTAAGTCTTATTTATCTAGGGCTAAAGAAAGAAAAACCAAAAATCAAGTTTAAAAATTTAGAAAAAAAGCAAGTTTAAAATGAATAGAATATTATTTCTTCTCAAAAAGGTCTATTGGCAATATTTAAAAAATAATAGAGATATGAACAATAAAAGGAAAAGCAATAAGACAGCTTTTTAAGCATATAAAAAAAACTAATTTCCATCTATGTCAATAAGATTTAAGGATTTTAATTTGCAGGTTTCAATTTGAATATATTAAAACACAAAATATTACACCAATGGTAACTAATATCCCACTACAAACATTTTTATTTAAGTTTTTCCCTTTATTTTTTGCTAATATTTGGTACAACAGGTGAACCAGAATAACAGCACTGAATTCATAAAAGTTAAAAATGAATTAAATTTCATGAGCTGCAGTATAGTCATCCCTCATAGCTAACCAATAGGAAAATATAAATAATGTTTCACATCAAATAATAAATTCTTCACATTAGGCATTCAAAAAGAATAAAAATGATTACTATAAAATTGTTAAAAAAAATTGTTCAAAGAGTTAAAAAAAAAATGGAAGAGCAAAATTTGATGAGCACACTGTTTATAACAGTTTTTTTTTTTCCTTTACTAACTACATACCTTTAGAATAACTTCTTAATCAGTGTTTAAAAAAAATATCTTATACTGAAAAAGTCAATTTTACTTCAATTTTATGCACATGATTTAGTGAACAAATAAAATACCGTAAATAAATGCAAAATAATAGAAAGATTTTGCTTTAGGTTTGTCCTATGTTAATGGTAACGATAACTTTAATTTCCACCACTTTGAGCATGCTCAGTGAAGCTCAAATAGCATTAACGTTACATTTCAGAAGAACAGTAATCTCTTGCAAAATCTCCCGATTATTAAAGTAAAAATAAGCTATATTATATCAAAGTAACTATGTATTATAATAAAGTTATCCAATAATTATTCTCTCATTTAAAAAAAAAGGCACAAGATATAACATGAGAAGTTTCTAAAATTAAATATAATATTAATTATACAAATAAGAGAAGGAAAAAAACTGCTTCTCAACAACAGAAACAAAAGGGACACAAGTTAAAAATTTGACACATTTGTTTTATTTTTTAAAAAAAGAGGCAGTATAGAGAGCAAGTTTTTCATAACATTATTGGCACAAGTTTCTTTGCACTGACAAAGCTCAATGCACACATTTGACTGACAAATCATTTTACAAAACATATTAAGTATTTTTCCAAAAAGAAGGATTAACAATTGTATTGCACATTTTTGTTATATAAATTTTAAGTAAATTCCCATGGCTGTTATACAGTAAAAGCATCCAATGTACATACGGGCAGAACAAAAGGAAGTTTCAATTAACATTTCAAAACACTGAAATATCAGAAAACGAATTTAAATCTCAACATTGATGTTATTTGATTTAAATTAAAAACACGGACTCTTCAGAAGGAAACTAACAACTATTTAAAATGTTCCAATATTGCACAATTTCTATATAAACATTTCCAAATCATTCTCTACAATCATTCTTCTTCCTTTTGTATCATACATTTTTAAACTATTTAAAAAGAGATTCATAAAAATAAAAGTAAAATTCATTACTCTTAGCTTTTCACTTAGAAGAGCTCTGGCAGTGAAGCTTGCTATAGATATAAGTACCTCTATATCAGGAGGCATAAAATATTCCCCTGAAAAGTAGTGGAGTAATAGTCAGAGACTCACCCTCTTTCTTTCTTTTCATTGTCAGGTGATTTATCTACTTTAACAACATAATCAGATGATGCTATATCACCACTCAGCATACTGACAGATGTGCTACTACTACCAGCCCTTTCTCTAAAAATACAATGCAAGAATATAATTTAAAAATAAACAAATATGGAAATCACTACTTGATTACATTTAATAATGCCTTCTCTAGGAACATACAGATGAATAGTGAGTAGCAAAGGGGTCATTTGGGAGGGGGAGGACATGTTGGGTATGCATCCACTTAAATAATTTTTGAAATCTTAAAAAGTTTCCACCCCAATAACTTGCTAGAAAAAAAAATTTATACTATTTCAAGAGTTATCAAATTAATATATGAGGAGATTTAAATTTAGCTTTTAAAAAGGAGCTAGACAGAAATTTAGCCAGGGTGGAAGAAATTAATTTTTTTTTTAATCATAGGAAAAAATTGAGAATTATTGAAAATGTTTAAATTTTGCCCCTTTCAAAAAAATTGGACACCTGAAACATAGTGTATACCAAGAAACTAATAAACATAATAGAGCAAACAAAATATTCCCTTTACTAAAAACTAAGATTTCCCATTTTCCCTAAAATATAACAAAATAGAGGGAAGTTCATTTGCTACTTTCCCTAGGATAAAAACATAAGCACACAGTTTTGGAGTGCTAATTTGAGCTCTGCCATTGATAGAAATTGTTTTGAATATATACTATGTGAAGCTAATAAAATATTTTTGCCTTCCTACTGCTATCTACGTGGCCCAACAACACTCAACCATGAGTGCCACCCTATATNAAAAGAAGAAAATAAATAAATGTATACATCTTTTTTTTATTTCATTAACCAGATTCCTTTCCTCCTGTTATTACTCAACACAAAATAAACTCAAAATAACGATCGGCAATAAAAGTTATAAACTAAAATATTGGCATGATTCTTATTTTCATGTGTAGAAGGAGGAGTTATTTTCTTAGTATTAAGTTCTTGGTAGTATTAAGTTCTCAAGCTTGCCTTTTATCATTTTCCATGTCTGTTTTGTTCCGATTATTCCTTGTTATAGTCACGTAAGATGTTTTTTTTTTTTTTTTTTTAATTTCCAATGAGCTGCATTATCGGTCTTGCCGATGAGCAGACCTAGTGCGTTCTCCAGAGGTGGTATCCACTCTTTCAGGACCACCACAATGGGTGAGATACCGTTGGTCATGTTAATTTGGACATCTAGTTTCTGCCACACTAGATGGCAGCACCGAGACTCTATTTGGATGCTAAAGTGCACTAGGAATTTAATTTTGCCGGAAATGCCAAGAGCCAATAAGGCACTCCAGGGATCTTTTACACGGCGCATAATCATACGACATGGCCGCTGAGGATTTTCTGCATCCCGAAAATACGGTATCTGGGCCGGGGATCGAACCCGCAGACTTGGGCTCAGAAGACCCGACTACAAACCAACTGCGCCACCCAGCCACAAAGTAGTCACGTAAGAAGTCACTATTTTATTAACTCAAAAATGAAAGGCAACCAAAAAAAGGAGTGCATTTCAGATTTAGAAAATATCATTTAAAAAATTCAAGTAATGTAAAACTTTAAATTAATTCCTTCAAATTTTGGAGTGATCTAATCCATGGTTCTTCTCTTTGATATTCAAAATAACATTTTCCATTTGTTTTTTATTTGTATTGTTCCTTGTGCTAGCAAAGTAGCAAGGAACTATTATTTTATTAAATTAAAAATGACAGGTAATCAAAGAAGAAAAATCGCAGGTTCAGAAAATTTTATTTCAAATTTATGTAATGTATAACATTAAAATTCATTATGCTGATTATTTGTTTGTGGTACCTGCAGAACATAGGGAAAAAATTTTTGAATATTATTTCTTATTTTCCAAAGGTTTAAAAATCTAATTATTTTTTTAAATCTTTTTTACATTAATTCCCATGAGTTTCATTTTTGCTTAGAAAAAACACATAGAGAATAAAAATAAATTCAGTTATTAGGCTAATAACTAAAGTAGAATACAAATTTTGAATTCAGTTAGGTAAAGCAAATATTAAAATGCAAGTTTACCGAATATCTTCTGAATCCGGAGAGAGAGTAGGAGTTGACAAAGAATTTCTTTGTTGACGGAAAAAATTTTCAAGACCTTCTCCAAGATCTTGAGGTTCATCTTTTACTTCTTTACCCTGAATTGCAGGTCGTGTGGGTGCTCTTGTCTTAGGACGTTTTGGACGAGCTTTGCCCAGATGTTCCAATTTTTCTGACATAGGGGAGAGACTCGGTAAACTCTCTAGGAAAAAAATTTTTTTATTAAATTATTGCACACAATTATTTGATTTGAAAAATTACATTGCTAGAAAAGAAAAACCTTTAACAAAAAACATGAGAGAAAGCAACAAAAATTTTTTTTATTAAAATGGAGATTTAAAAAAAAGAACTGAAAATGGCAGCAGACATTGAATAAAATTAATACTGATACAAAGCTTTTCTACACTTGGTTTTTAGAACAAACTAACAATTTTTTTAGAGTAATAATGCATTTTATCATTTGGGGGCACAAGCCTGCTTCCATCAGGGTTTAACGTAAATGACCACACGTGACAAACAGATGAAAATAAAACTTGGAGCAATATTGCCAGAAAATGGAAGGTAAATAAAAGAAGGCTTCTACTAATTTCCAAAAGAGTACGAAAAAGACAGTGGCGAGGCTAAAAATATAATCATGTTTGAGTATTTTTCCACATGTTAAGCAGAGATTGTACAGTGCTGATATCTCATTAACTATTGATTAATATTATAAACAATAAAAATAAAACTTTAACTTCCATGGCCCTGTGGCTTATAACAGACCATTTGCAGCTATGGGGTCATGGAGGTTACAAGTAGTCAGCATTGTGTATCACCTGACTTTAATTCCCAGGCAAGCTGGTACACATCAATCTGAAAATGGATGAGCTTTAAGCCATCACTGATGATATAACTCTTCCACAAAGACAGCTTAGAGTCTAAACTATAGTGCCATCATAGCTCAATATAAACAATATTACTTAAAAATAGGTAACATAAATTTTAGAAAGTTTGAATCCCAAGTAGATTTTGTAAAAGGTTTAAATCTCAATAACTTAAATCAGTATGAAAGCCTCCCTAGTCATTCCGCAAAATGTAATGAATTATATAACTATGAGACAAAATAAAAACAAGATTAATCTATAAAAAAATAATGCATAAAAGAGAAAAATTTTAAAAAAACATTTTTTACAAATTAAAACTAACATGCATACAAAACAAGAAAAAAAAAATTTTTATTACTTATTTTTATTAATCTAAGTTTTTAAATATTTGACAAGAATCAGTAAGGAAACAACAAAAAGCATGCTTTAAGACAAATAGATCACATTCAACAGTATTTAAATTAATAGGTCATACCACTCAGATTGAGTTCTTTATAAAGAATTATTATTAAGAAAAATTATTAAAATTACAAATCAATATCTAAAAATTAATTACGCAATTTGAAAAATTACCTTTTTCATAAATTTATCAAAGCATTTAAATTGTTAAAAAGTTAGCAAATTTAGAAGTACCTTAATGATGGAGGAATCTTAAAAGCAGGAAGACTAAGAAATTTTTATCAATTTTACATGATAATCATAACTGTTTGGAAAGCTTAGCACTAAAAGTGACAGTATACACATTTTAATGAATATAAATATGATCTCTTCATCAGAATTGTCATCCACTTATAAAGGAATGTTAAGTAGCCAAAAATTGAAGATAAGAGTAATTTGCCATATTTCTTAAGAGTTTAGGTTGGGGAAGGGAGAGGGAGGTAGAAACAAATTCAACCACTTATGCAAGCTTAAGTGATATCATATAACACAACAAAACACAAACTGTGACATCAATGCAGAGAATAATGTCAAAGTAAATAAATAGAATTCAAAAGTTGGGGAAGTAAAATATACATTAATTGATAACCATGATAGTTTAACTTATTTTTTTCCTTTAATGTTAATGGAATTTTAATAAACATTTTCAATTAAACTAAGATAGTTTAACACTAAAGAAAAATTAAGACAATATTCTGACGAATAAACAAAAATAAAAAAACACAAATTTTATACAAAAGATGATATTTTCTTAAAATTCAATAAATTGTACCTCATTGTTACTGAATTAATAAATTAATTTCAGAAAACTTAAACTTAACATATAATTAATGAGGAATTAAAAAAATATGAAGAAATACTGAATCAGAATTCAAAATATTACCTTCATCTTTAGGTAAAAGATCAGGGATATCATCAGCAGCTATACCTTCTACACTATCTATAAAATAAGAAAATAAAAATATTAAATATAAATTTTAATCTTGTAAGTGCAGCATTTTGTTAATATTTGTTAATTTAAATCCATTACAAAATAATGATACAACATTTAGAACTCTAAATTGCTCTCTGTAATTTTTTTATTAGCTTAAAATAAATTCAGAACAATATGATACATTACATTATTATTGCATGTAAAATACAAAAATCTAAAGATTCAACTTTACTATGGATGAAACACGTTGAAATAAAATTTTTTTATAATTTTTAAATAATTTTATAAACAAATTCAGCAAATCAAAATTCCACTTGAAAATTTATGTGCTTTAGCCATGCAGAGCCCACACTAAGTACTCACTACCTTGCCAAATGTGATAAAATTGTAAATTTGGCGATTAACTAAGATTTGCATTTGGTAAAGACTTTTGAAAATTGGCGAATACTTTTAATATTTGTTTTTTTTACAGGCTAATAATTTGAAATCCTTATAGCGTGCTCAGGCTATGTAAGACTTCTTTTAATAAACACTAGTATAAAATATTTTTAAAAAAATTTAATAGAGTTTTAAATGTAGTGCAAAATATGCTTCATGCTTTATTTTTTAAATAATAAATATTAATTTATGTTGTTTCACTTTCAAAATTCTACACATTTTTAAGATGCCAACTAAATGAAACCAATATTCCAGAAAAAGAAAAAAAAAATTTACGAGTTCAAAACACAGAAAAATCATTATAATTAAAATAATTATCTTCTGATGCAGATAAAAAAAAAGTGCTACTAAAACATAGTTTTTAAATCATTTATTCTCTTATATGTGAAATAGTTTAGTATAATATATTGTTGTAAAAAGTTCCTACACATTCTTAATAACACATATTAATAAATTAATAACACATTCTTAAATTATTTTAATATTATAATGTCATTAAAATAAATTGGCTGAATATTAAAAGCAAACAGCATTGAAGAATATGAAATAATATTTTTTCCTCTAATATTAAGAAATATTTTTAATATGACAAGCCTCAACAAAACTGCAGTAAAATTTCAATTAAAATATCAATATATATGACTTGGTAAAACAAAAATAAGAGAATTGCACAACAGCAATTTAGTTTATCAACAAGTAAAAAATTTAATAATGAGTAAAATACAAGTTACAGTAAGAAATAAGACATCTTATAAAAGAATTTTCTTAAATAATATTCGTTCTAAAGTTTATTGAGGATGACTAAGTTTATTCTAAAAAGTGAATCACATTTCAACATAAGTAACAGCAAAGCTAATTTTTCAGAAAAAAAGAAAAAAAAAGTGATAAGGAAAATTTAAATTATTAGCAATATCAAATATTCAGGCTTAATTTTTAAAAACAGCAGTTTTTGTTTTTCAGTCAAAAAAGAAAACTGAAATTAATTTCTAACATGCAAAATCACACAATATGTTAATGAAAACTGTTCTAAGTTTAGTAGTGCACATGCGGCAGACCTTAAATAGTCAACATGTGGCCATCTGTCTTTAAAAACAAGAAAGAAAGAATAAACTGTATAACTAGCATAAGAAATTTTATCAATCTTTTCAAATCAATTTCAATAAATTTTTGGGAAAAAAGGTGAAGGGAAAATTACAACATTGAAATTCAAGTAATCAAAAAAATATATTTTGCCACTTTAATTCTTCAAATAAATTTTTTTTTTAAAAACATGCTTGAAACAAATGTAGTTTAAGGATTAGATTAAAACTTAATGTAAAAAATATTAAAAAAATAATCATAAAATTTACTGGTTAGAAATTAATTTTAAATAAAAGTTGAACACATATCATGCATATTATAATGAATACATTAAATAAGATTTAGGCGATTATAAAATATTTCTAAAAAGAGGTTAATATAGAATTTGTTTAATCAAGGAAAAAACACAATTTTAAAATATTTATTAATAACATAGGTAATACCTTTATAAGGACTTACCAACAACTGATTGAGGTCTAAGCTTTCTGGCATGCACACTTTTTCGTTTGTTAGTAAGCTTGGGTGTTGCCTGAATGTACAAATTAAACTTTTATATGCAGAACACTAAAAACAATTACTTAATAGAAACATATGAGTTACAAAGCTCAGATATTGAAAAATAAACATAAATATTGAAATTATCATGCTTAATATCAACACAGTTTAGCAGATTTAGATTAAGCACCATATGAAATTTAAATATTTCCTAATTATATGATTTAAATTTACTAATTTAAATTTTAAGGAAATTTCATTGAGATTAATTAACATTCTTATTTTAATCGTCAGTGTTAATTTTTAATAATTAAAAACATTTTAAATAGATAAATCTGATTTACTTTTAAAAATCGCTTAATCTTTCTCAGGAATAATGTGTTTTAAAATAAGTTATAAGCAACATTCCAGAAATATTTTTTTACTTCTTTAAACAGATTCTTTTTGCACTTATTTGGTATGTCTTTATAAAATAATTTTTTTCAGCAGCTATTCATGCTGTTATCACAAAAGTTATTTGACAGTGATTTTCAAGAATTTCAGTAAAACATACATGGGATACATAGCCAATAATTATCAAGTTTATTTCTGAACAAAAAAGAAAAAAATTGCTTATTTTAAAGATGCAGCATATTTTATTTTATGTATGAAAATTTGTCTGCATGAAAATGTATTTATCTTTGAAAAAGTAATTCTGATTCGCCTAGTAACAAACCAAATATATAAAAAATTATGGATAGCTATGTAGCAAAATCTTTAAGAAATTTTTTTCAAAAATTAAAATAGAGTAAAATGCAATATAAAACCTTCGATAAAATTTTTGTTTTTTTCCAGTTACAAGTAATTAATTGATTTGCACAACTTAGGCTACACTTTTAAATTTCTTAAGTTACTTTATGTGACTCATGTATTCAGTGTTGGAATTTTAAATAAAATGAATTCTTTAAAAAATTTGATTACAGTTTAATCTTTAAGTATTTGTCACAGGGCAAATTTCAGAAGGTTTTATTCAATTCTCATTTCTTTAAGGGTGCAAAAGAAACCGCATTTTGTTACAAAAACACATGCAGATCAGGAGATGGAATTTTACATGCATTAGATTCAAAGCATATAAGAGAGTTTGATTAACACATATTCAACTTCAACTATTTGCATCGCCTTTGACTCAAAACCAGCATTATTTTAAAACTCAATTATTTATTGTAATACACAAACAAATTTCGGCCATGTGGACACATAAGTGATAACAAGACTTTTAAAATTTATTAGAACTGTGGTTCACAGCCATATGCAACATATCGTTAATATGATGGTAACTTTCTCTTTCTAAATGTTAATTATTTTTCAAAACTTATTTAGCAAACAACTATTAAAAAAGTTAGAAAATGAAATTACTTTCATACCATGAGAATACGAGGAGAATAGGTAAATTAAACAATTTTTATTAATCTCAATTTTTTTATAACAAATCAATAAATACATTTATGCATTATTATCTATTAGATAAAATGTATGCATTATTATCGGTTAAAAAAAAAGCGATATTTCCTTTAGAAAATATTCAGTTTTTATTATTAATTAGCAATATTATTAACTAGCATTTTTGTAAATGCACATCTGTGCAATTATATTTGTTCTGAAAAGTTTTTTGTATCAAAATTTTATATTATATTTAAATTATTCTATAACTTTACTTTCTTTGCTTGCACTAAGGACATAACAATTTCAATAGTACCTATTCTTTGGAAATATATCGTAATAGTGCTTAAAGATATTTAAAAAAAAGTTGGCTATCAATCAGCTTTATATGACAAAAGTAACTTACATAACTAATTTAAAAATAAAGTATCTGGAATAACATAAAAAACTTTTTCTAACATTACTTGAACTGAAACAAACATAATAAAATGGACTTTCTAAAAGTATCTAATAATAATTTGACTGTTTTTGGCTATCTAAAATTATTTAAAAAAACTACAAAAGTCATATAACACAAAGTCACATTAAAAAATAAAATGATCCATGCAAAGAAATAAAAGGACAAATATAATACAAAAAAACCAATAAAGAAGATAATTTAAAGTACTTTTATTTTAAGAAAATTTATAACTTACCAAATTAAGCCATGCCAACTGCTGAGAGCATGATAGAAATATTTATAATTAAATTTAATTCAACTAAAAGATTAAGTGTAAAATCTTAAATTAATTTCAATTTGGCAGAGAAATACTTCAAATATACTTACTAGAGGTGAATCTGAATTTTCACTATAGCTATCTCTATCCAATTGAGAATCACCACTGTGACTTATCCTAAGACCACTTTCAACACATATACCACCACGCAAAACATCAGGAGTTGTGCACCGTTGTTGATTAACTTGATCATGCTGTAAAACAGTGATGTTAATTTATTTAATTATTCAAATCACATTTTTGCTAAAAGTTTTCCACAGCAAATTTTACAAAAAAAAGCTACCTACCAATTCTCGATGACTTCGAGATAAAGTTTCTATTATTTCATCTAGTATTCTGTCCGACACATGAGCAGCAACAGATAGGTTTACTTCACTAATAAAAATTAGGAGCACATCAATTTTAAATCTTCAGAGTACATCAATATTATATAATGTTCTTCACTTATAAGAATTAAGAGCATATCAATCAAATATTATATTGAAGTAGAAATATGGGGGTATACCTAAAAAATGTCAATAAATTAAATAAATAAATAAAAAATTGCTCTATAATTTTTGTTGAAACAAATATAAGTTTAATTACTTTCAACTTTCCATGATAATTTTAAAAGAAATATTAGTTTATTGATAACGCAAGTAAATAAAAGTTTTTTTTCTCATTTTTTAATTAAAGTTTAAATCAAAATAGTAATAAAAATATTTTAGTGAAAAATACATTAAATAATTAAATTTCAATTTAATAAGATTTGAAACTTGAAAAATTTAAATAGATTTTAATGAGAAAGTTACTCATTTGCTCTGCTGTAAGCTTTGTTGTATAAAATTTTTTATAACGTTAGAAAATGATTAAGCTAAATCATCAATTGAAATAAGATTAATATCACTTTCCACTTAATGTTCATTTTAAATAGATATATAAAATTAGGTATCACACTAAATCCGTTTTTTAAGTAAGTAGCTCTTACCTGACTTTGTTTATAATACTTGTACCAGTTTGTTCAAGCAAAGAATGTCTCACAAAGTCGATGGGAATAACTCCCCTATCTTGACACAATTTTTCTAAATCTCGACGAACCTAAAATATAAGTATAAAAATAGTAAAAATTATTATAAAAAAATTCAATATTTTAAATTATTACTTTTAAGGTCTATTACCATTAATAAAATAACAATAAGTAATACCAATGTATCTGAAAGAGTCCTTTCAAATACACTAATTAATAATCATAATTACTGATTCACAATAAGTAGTGATCATAATAAATGAGAGTAAGATTTTTTTATGCATAAATTTTGAGATAAAAGAAAAATACTGAAAGGAAAAAGCAAATTATTTGATCGGTATAAGCATTAAACTTTAAAAGTAGAGGTAGCAAAACAAAATATAAACAAATTGGTTATAAATCTGAAATTAAGTCATTTACAAAATGAAATCATTCAACTTAATTTTTTAATCCCGCAATTAAGCTATTAACTAGGAAGGGTGCAGAGCAAATATATAATTTACAAACTGGATTTTTTTCTTTTGCTTCATTTATTTATTTTATTTTTTTAAATATGTAAGTAGGTTTACAGATCCAGAATTATTTATGTTCTTTGAAATTGGAAACTGCTATGCATATTTGTTAAGAGTGAGCGTATTGGATCTCTTGTTCAGACAGTTTTTTTTTTTTTTTTTTGATATAAGCTGGTATCTGATCCTAAAGATTCTTTTTTCTTTTGCAATGTATCTTGAATGATATAAATCTCAGTACATATAGTTTAGTTTAATGTCAGGTATTGATTTTTTAATAAGTACATTGTTCTATAATGTTTTGGTTCTGATTTAGATTTTAAATTAAATGTTTCATTTTTAAAATCATAATTTAATCTAAATTATCACCCTAGTTTTTTACACACAAAAAACTAAAAAAAAAGCATTTTTAATATTCGTAATTAATATAAATTAAGTATTTAAGCACAGAAAACTTACATCGTCACCTATGATGTTAGGGCACTGATCTTCCACACACTTAAGCATGCAAGATGCTGTACTCTAAATAAAGAAAAGACATATAATTTGGATATTAGTAAGGTATTTTTAAAATTCACAAATAAAAAATAATTTTAGTTTGGATGATCTACAAAAAAAAGTGAAGAAATTTTTCAACATATAAAATTTAATAGACTTTAAAAAAAAAGCATATTACAAGAATGATAAATTAGCAAAAAGAAAGGGAAAATGAATAAAATCAACTAAACTTACTATCAGGTGGTTTTCGATTGTATCCAAAAGTTCTTTCACAAAATCTTGTAGCCTTTTCTCAATTGCATTTCCAGATTCTTCTTGCAATAATACCACCTCATGCAACCTAGTTAAAAGCTACAGAGACAAAAAAATTTTGATGAGATTTCTCTTCTAAAATCAATAAACTGTTCAAATATTTAAAACTCAATGGAATTTCATATCACTGCCATATTAAAGTACAATGTATAAAAATAAAGAATTTTAAGCTTATTTTTTTTAAAAAAAGTTCCAGTTATGTGTGAGCACTGAACAAGAATTTATGAATGACAAATCACAGTACTCATTCAGCCACTCCCCCTCTTAAAAAAAAGTACAATCGTAATACACAGAATATGAACCTAGCTCACCTGCTTTGCATTATTGGCATCACTCAAGAAACCTTCAACTCTTTCTATTTCATCATTAGTAGCCCCTTCAGGTGTAACTCTCTTTAAATTGTTAACAGAATCTTGCAAATGTACCATTAATCGATCAACATTCTACAAATAATATGAAAAGAACATATTAATTTAAGAATCATTAAGGAAGAATTTTATTTGCAATAAGATTTTAGAAAAGTTCAAAAAGATGCATATCTCCAGTTATAAATTTTAATATTTACAGTTAAAGGTTGATTCTAAGGAATGATAAATCCTTACCAAGAAAAATGTTTTCAAATCATAATGTATGTTCATGAAATTTTCTTGTCATCTAGCCATTTGTATAAATCTCAGAACATTTTCAAGCCCGACAAATATTTCTAACAAAGCATTTGGAGAGGAAAATGTTATATTAATTTGCTTACATAGATATTTAAAGTTTAGAGGATTAAGAAAAATATTAATGAATATGCAGCCAAATTATATTTAAAAAAATTAGAAATTAAATAAAACAAAAAAAAATTTGAGTCTGTTAGTGTGTTGTTCACTCTTCTTTACTAATCAAGCTAGTGAGAAGAGAAATTCGTTTTTGAAAATTTCTGCATAACTTGCATCTATTTTCACAGATAACAGCTTTATTATGATCTGTTAGATCTATCAGTAACAACTAAGTCCAAAAGAGAATCTCAGATCCGAAATATCTGCATTCATAAACTAAATGTGGCCTGCAAATAAAACCTCTGAATTTAATAGGCTTACAATTGCTTAATGGAAAAATGTCAAGTAATAAAATATACCTGTTGTGCTGAGCTTAGTAAGAATCCTTGTTGAAGGCGGAATTGTCGACCATTTATATATTTCTTGGGAGAAACATTACGATGTAAGCAATCTTCAATCTAAAAAGGTTTCAAAAAGAAAATATATAAAATTGACATAGTTTAAAATAAATTATTGGAAGATTAAGCTAATAGAACATAAATACCCTTTTTAAAGCTGACTCAGTTTTTTCTGGAGCAATTTTCATAGCTGCTGTTGCATCAAATATTGGGCAGGGCATGTATCTCAGAGTAAAATTCCTAAAAATATATATATAATTGTATAAACAATGTAATTTTTTGTGTAAATTCATGATGTGACCAACAAAATATTTACAAATATTAAACTTGGATAAAATTGTTTGTAGAATTCTTTAAAATAGGACAGGTTTCAATAAAATTTGATTTAAAAATCAAACAAAATCACCAGAAGTCCAATTTTCTCAAAAATTATTATTTATGTATATTTTGTCTAGAAAAAATTTGTGCTTAGAAAACTAATTAAAAACTACAATATCTTTAAAAATTTAAAAGTGTTAAGATAATGCTTAAAATAAATTTATAAACTACTGTTACAACTTTTTGATGAGAAATACCCAGGCTTAAGTTACAATACACTGGTACTGCTTGAAAACTACATGTATTTTACACCTTAAAGGCATTTATGAATTGGTTTTATCCTAAAAAGGTGAATCGTAAAGATTAAAATATTTGGCTAAATGAACTTAATACTAATGTTCTTAAACACTAATGTTAGAGAGAAAAAAGACTGAAGTCTTGATAGATTTATTCTCCTCTTTTATCAACATGTACTAATTACCCAAGAATAAAAAAAAGTTGAGATTTGTCATGAGGGCAGAAGATATTAAAGCAAAAATTATCCATATGTCTTGATCAGAACTTAATCAAAATGTTATTCTGTTCCGCTTAATTACACTCAAATCATTAATCGCTCAAATTATAAAAAGGATCTATATTAGATAACTAGTAGTTGATCGACTTACTTGTTCATCAATTATTAATCGAAGTTTATAATCACATAAATTTGTGTCTCAAAAATATTATCCTGTTTGTAATCCAAAATGATCTTTCACTTATTTATTGAAGCAGGTAATAAATTAAACTCACTTTTCCAGAGCGTAGGCTACATCATGGAATCCTTGAGGTGGAGTTGCATTTTTATCCCAAAGAATAGATCTTAGTTTAGAGTTTATTTGCAAAGCTTTTGCAAGTGTTTTAGCACCAGCGCCACCCATATAATTTCCACTATAAAACAAGTAATTTATCTTTAATTCCATGAGTCCAAAAAATTATAAGAAAATATTTGATAATTCACATCTGTTTTCTTCCAATAGCTACAGAAAAGGAATACAAAGACAAAAGAACACTGATTTTATTGCAAGAAATTTTTCCTTTATTTTAAATAACTAACTTTGAAAATTCTGATTAGTTGAGTTCCATCTAGTTAAGACTTTATTGTGTTACAGAATATTTCTATTTTTTTTATTTTTTTTTTATTTTACATGAAATACAAAAATGTAGATAAACTACAAAATCAATCAGAAAACATTTGTATTTTATTTATTTTACATAAAAGCTTTGTGATAATTCATTATATTTTTCCCACAAGAAACATAAAAAGCTTTAAACCAAAGCAGACTTTATGTTAATTCGTCCTTACCTGCAAACTAAAAAAAAGTTTATTATAAATCTGAATTATTTTATTACCACCCTTAATAAGTAATCAAATTCTTTCCCATACAGATTTCATAACACTGAATACCAGCACTAATATAACTAATAACACTATATAACTAATTTGTACTAAATGATGGGTTACACTATAAACCTTTTTACCAATTGAAGGTAATAAAAATTTTGTGCTTAAATTCATTTTATATACATATTCTAATTAAGGGCAGATTTTGATAAAATGAAAAACTTTCTCAAAACAGAAAATCTATTAAAAAACTTTCTGTAAGCAATTATAATTAACTCTTAAATACCAAAATATTAATTATCTTTTCAAATTAGTTTGAACCCTATTGTCACCATCTATTTCAGCAAAATTTGAAAATCCCCAATTTTTTAAAAAATATTTTAATTTTTCTAAAACTCTATATTGGTTAATAGATGCCTGAAAGTCAAATGCAATGGTGTTATTGAAGAAAAAAGTGGGGCTGGAGGAGCAGAGAAAGAAATTTTCAAATCAATCTTCGCAAAATTGGTGGCCTGATTGATCAGAGAATTTATGTTTAAATTTTTTTTTAATAAGTAATACTTAAAATTTTTCAGTAATGCTGAAATATATTGACTGCAGGGTAAAATAGGGGTTGTTTTTCGTTTATAATGAGTGCTACTAAACAATTTTCTGCGATAGTAACATATTTTTTGTGAACAGCGCTCGAATATTCGTGTATATTATACATATCTGATAGGAGTGTGTTAACTTAATATGTTATAGAAAAAACTAATAACATAATTAGAAAAGAGGAAACGATCTTCAATCAAATCAATTATTTAATTAGGCAAAAAGAAAACAGAGCCTCATTTTCAAAGCAATAAATAAATTAATATTTAATAAAAAAAAATTTAAAAAAGACAATTAAAAATCGTACGTTATATCAATAGCTGTTAGACACTGATTGCTACCAAGAGCATTGATCACAACACAAGCGTCACCCCTCAGCTTTGAATCAGCAAGCGATAATGATTCAAGAACTGTATCCTCTTCTTGAATTAATTGTACCAATGAATCCATAACACGTGTCATGTACCTAAAAATATTTCCAATATGAATAACAATTTACTGCATGTTCAAAATTAGGAATTAAAAATACTTTTATTTAATGTTTATGAGTTAACAATAAGTCAATATAATAACAAAACATGCTTACTTAGGTTTAATGTTCATAAAATTTCTACCAAGGGATAGATGTTTGATGGACTTATTTTTGGCAACAGCATTAACAATATTGGCTAAATCTACATCAAAACCTGTTTGAAAAGATGGAGGAAAAAATTGATATTGACAGTAAAAAAAAATTTTTTTTTCTTTGATAAAACCAAGTTTAAAAAAAAAAAAAAAAAAACTACGTATATATTCAAAAGCAAAATTAATTATTTGATAATTATGTTTAACTATTACAGATAAAATGTTATTTCTTAAATAAAAGCTGTGACAATTAAACAAGAGTGTACCATACTTCCTATAGCTTTGGGCACAGAAAAGGGGATGAGGATGGGATGTAATAAGTGTGCCTAGCTCATCAGGCACAATGAATGCACGGTGGCCACTATTCTACCCACTTTTTATCTGCATTATAACAGCATAAAATGAACATTTCTTTGTCAAAATTATGAAAAAATTTTATATCTCTACCACTGGGAACTATTAATAAAAGTTTTTTTTTTCCCTAATGCCCGCCTATGTTAACATCCGTCAATTCAGGCATATACAGGGCGATTTTGTTCGCCTCTCTTTCAGGGGCACCATATTAGGTGGGCCAACGTCGCTCCCACAGTGAGGACAGATAGTACAGAGAAGGAAAGAATATACATGCCCTTGCTCGGGATTCTATTAATAAACGTATGAACGTATGAATATCAAACTAAGAAATATGATATAACAGTTTAATTTCAAAAGTAATTAAAACCGCAGCTTATGTTTACATTTTACAGTTTGGTAAAAATGGTAGAACTACTTTTTTGATAAGTAGTAAATTGCTTTACACAATAAAAGAAAAGACAATAAGGAACAAACAAACAAAATAGTAAAAAAAAAATTTATGTGTTATAAAGATTTTAAAATATTAGATAAATTATTATTTGAAGATTAAGGGGAAAGAAGGGTTCATGTATATTTTTCAAAAACTGATGATTGGATCATCATCTATTGCATTTTGAAAAATTACTGATCATCATCTATTGCATTTTGAAAAATTACTAAGTTTTGACAAATCAATAACGTGAAAAATCGATTCTCCCCAAGAGTTATTACGCTATAAAGATGGGTCATTCTGTGGAAAAATCCTTTCCTTTTTACACACAAAACCGTTTTTTCTCTGAATCAGCTTTTATGTACAAAAACTGTTCTTTCACATAGTCTACAACTCTGTATTTACATTTTTAAGTAAATTTTATAATTATAATAAAAAAAATATTTAAACATATATTTTGAAGTCAGAAATAATTTTATTAGGTGAGTAATATTGTATAAATAACAATTTCAGCTCAGGAGCAGAATTATATTGAATGTTCAAGAACACAAACTTCAGATAATTACAAATGTTCTGCAGATATTGTCAATATTTAACAAGATAAATTATAACAATTTTTTCAAATGACAATAGTTTTATTTTGCAAAATAAATTTGCTAACTTTAATTAGTTAAATATCAAATTATCTATAAAGGTATATATAATGCAACAAAAAATATTAACAACATACACAATTTTCATGACTTATGGAGAAAAATTGTCTGCAAGGAAGTGGGTATAAATAGTTTTGCTTTAAAAATAAATTATTTTACAAGGACTTTGATTGTTTTGGGAGATATACAGCAGTTTAAAGCACTTTGTGTTTTTGAGCATTTAAGTATCCATTTAGAAAAATAATCCAAACACTAAAATGACATTTAAAAAAATTACCAGATTCAAATATTTTTTCTTTATTCTTCAGTATATATTAATCAAATTTATATGGGTTAAAGATGAGTACTTTTAAAGTATTTCCTCCTGATGCTCAAAATAAAAGAAGAATCTGTAAATCATAATTTTAAAAAAATCTGTACTTACCATTATCACTTATGTCTAAACTGCACAAGCATCTTATTCCAGGTAAACATGACTCAAGAACAAGTGCTCCATGAGATTTTAACTCATTATTACTAAGATCAAGAGAAATATCTGTGGCTATTTCATTGCAGGCTAGTCCTAACAGCATAGCCCTGTAAAATAATTTTTTTCTGATTTCTACAAAATTTAAAAACAATAGAAATATTCATGCTTTTTAGTTTAAAAAAAATAATAATTAAAACAATTTCCCCCCTTTTTTTAAATTAAAGGGTATTTTAATTCCTTTCAAAAGCAATGAAACTTCCATAAATTATATGCTTTTTTTATCCTAGCAACCCTAATTAAATAATTCTGCAGTTATTCTGCGCTCATTGAATATAGACTTATTGAATAGACTCCAAAATTAAACTTAATAACACTTATTAAAAATTAGGAAAATGTAATATAAACAAACAAATGGTCTTAAGCTGGACAACCTTACTTATCGCCAGTTAGAATAAGAATGACTCCTTTTAAGAGAGAGGTAATTCCTAAAAGCAATGCGATGGCAGCGTCATTTCTGAATTAACACAAATAAAAGACAAAATGATAAATTCTGATATTACAGTCTTAATAAGTACAAGTTATATCTATAAAAATATAATTTTACATGAGTTTTTTAAAAAATAAATAAATACATAATAAAAAAATAAATTCTTAGTACTTTCAGGATTTTCTTTGACTAATACTTTTAATTTTGACTTTATTACTTCCTAACACATTTACATAGCGCGGTTTTATAAAAGCAATTATGTGTAGAAATTCAATAATGTCAAATTAAGGGATTTGATCAATGAATATGAAAGGAAAAATTTTGCATTATGGAATTTATGTATAAATATAACACATTGAAAACTTTAAAGAAAACTTAAACCAAATTCTCATTTGAGTAAAAAAAAATTATGCAACTAAAGTATAAATCTTTACATGATAAAAACTTATAAAATAACAGTACAACAAAAAAATTTCTTTTGATATTAATTAATGAAGGAACTAATCAATTAACTTACTTTAATGCTTCTACAGGCAATTTATTTCCAGACATATTTAATTGTTTAAGAGCTACTGTGCTTGAGAAAAAAGCTTTAAATGAAGGAGGAACATTAACTTCTTTTGACTTCTTAGCAGAGAACTGATTCCTGGACAATATTAAAACTGCTAATTTTTGTGTACAACCACGGAGTAAAGCACCAAATACCTTAAAAAGTAATATCAAATTAACTATCACCAAACATTTTAAAAATTAATATCTACACATTTATAGAACAAATATAAATAAAGACAATAACACCTAGTTAAGGACAATAAAACAAGTAAGACTGAAAAATGAATAGTATACAACTGCACGCTAAAAGAAATACTTAAAAAAAATTAACACTAAGCTGAAGAAATTTTTAAAACTTATCAACAAAAATCAAATTCTTTTCCGCAAAATAGAAGAAAAATACTTGCTTATTATATCATCAAAAAGCAATTCCAAAAACAACTTTGCTATTAATAACTGGAGGGAAAAAAATTTCTTGCATCCATATAACAATAACTGTCGAGTTGGCATATATTTAAGCTAGTAACTGGTGCTACTAAATATACATATGCATAAATAAATGTATGTGCTGCTTAACAAGGTCTTCTAAACAAGAGAAAGACCTTTTAATTAACATTGAGAGACTTTTACATGGCCAATAAAACATGGATTATTCTCTCCCAATAAAAATTTGGCTAGCATTAGGTAAAACTAGACAATACAACTCCAACCCTTAAAATACATGATAGAACCTAAATTAGCTTGAAAGACAAAAAGATTGATAAAGGGTAAAATTTAATAAAAGAAATTTTTAAATTTTACTCTTTTTATTGTTTAAATAAGAGTTAAGTAAATAAATATTAATCATTTGGTCTTTTATATTGCCCAAAAGAAAACTTATTTTCTACAATAGACATGAAATTTCATTTTTATATTTTAGTAAACAGCATAGTCATAGTTGACATTTAACCAGCCAGAGCACCTTACTATTTCATACTAGGATAAGAATTTTGCTTTTATTTATATATCGCTCAGCTTCCTAATATTTAAACATTTTAAAGGGTGAGGGAACAGCTTTTTTTAATTAACTATTTTTATTCATACATGGTGTACATAAATTATTTACAATATTAAATCTAGAATAAAGATAATTATCTTTTCTTATTTCGAAAAAATTCTTTGATCCACTACTGTGTTACACTTGAAGACCATGAGGATGGTAATGGTTTATGTCTATAAAAGCTGATTCGGAGAGAAAAAATCCGTTTGCGCACAGAAAGGTAGGTTTTTCTCCTCAAAGCACGGCCCATCTTAACTGTGTAATAACGCACGGGGTATCCGTTTTTCACATTATAGATTTGTCATAATTTTTATTAGTAAGCCAACAAAATTTTTATTTTAATGAAAAATTGACATAAATGGTTTTTCCCCCATGGTCCTCAGTTGAGAAACACTTGGATAATTAATGCATGCATTAAAAATTAAATTTTTAAGAATAGTAATCTATTATAATATTGAGCAAAAATAATTTATTTACACAAGAATATAAAAAATTAATACAAAAATTGATTTATCAACTCATGGCTTTTAAAATTCTAAGTTTTTTTTCTTCCTATTTTTGTTCAATTAGATACTACACTTATAAAACACATTTTTTTTTTAATACAAATAAAAATACTCACTGTATCTAATGCACATTCAGTTCCAGATAAATCCAAATGTGTCAAAGCATTTGGTTGAGCCAGAAAATTATACAAATTCTGTAAAAGTAATAAATAATCAAACAAATATATAACCAAATGAAAAACATAGAGCATGGACATAAAATGTATGCAAATTCACTAAGAATTTATTTATTCTTAAAAAAAATATTTAAGATTTAAGGACTTCTTCTAAAGTTTAAATATTCATCTAAGAATTTCAATTTTTATTGTCATCTTTAAGTTTGAACTGAATCTATATATATATATATATTTAAATCTTATTTCTTTTTAAAGATATGATTATATGAAGAAAACAAATTTTTTTCCAAAACCATACTTATTTTTTTTTTAAAATCTTTAATATAATTTTAAAAAATGCCTACTTGTAAGAAGAAGCCCTAGGAATCGGGAATCAATAAAAAATGGGGATAAAAAAAGATTTTTTTAACTGGTTCAGGTACTTGCTATTTAAGAGGCTTGGATTAACAAGATAGAAAATATTATGTACAAAGAGTTATAACTTTGAAATTAATGATGCCTCGATATTTCTGAACAGTTAAAAATGTCTTACATTATAAAAGTGCTATATTAATTAACATATTTGTAATAGGTTAAGGTAATTAAATAATTTCTATACATGATACACTTTTAAATGCAGTGAAGAAGTGTATTAAACTGAACATTATATAAAATAACAACTAAACAAAATTATTCAGCAAAGGATAGTCAGTAAAAAGTTATCTTACATTAACATCATCTTTGAAGAGATTATCACTGAGATTAAGGAATGTAAGAGTTGAAGGCATGGCACGATTTAATGAAAGAGCATGAGCAAGGGTGTTGATGCCTTTTGATGTGAGGCCTGTTCTGCTTAAATTCAGATGGATCAAGCCCTTCTGCAGACGACCTACAGTGCCTCCCAGTTGACCAGCACCTTTAAATAATTAAGAAAATTAAGTATTTTAAAATCTTTCATCAATGTAAGTTTATAAATTTTGTAAATAATAATATTTTAAAAAATACATCATATATATCATTTTATGAATTTCCAGGTGTCCTTTTTAGTAAATACTTGAGAAAAATCATTTGTGATAAATCTGTATTTGAGTGTGGATTTCGCACATGATCTGTTTTAATGTCTAAATTCATTAGTCAGTTAATGGACTTCATTTTGTTTTATATCTATACAACTGTATTTATTTTTGTTAATTTTTTTGAATGTTTCAAATAGATTATTTGTTTCTAATAGAAAGTCTTGTACTTAGCAGAATTTCGTGAAACTCTCATAGAATTTTTTTAAACATCAGTTGAAAGGTTTAAAAAGAAATTTAAAAGTTTATGTGAGCCAGTTAAATTTTTCCATGCTGTGATATGTTTTGGCAGTGGGATTATATTGTTTAAAATATATGCTAAAAATTAAAAAAGGCTCAGTCTAAGCTCTAGAGCCCTAAACCTACATGTACTTGTTAGGTACAGCTTTCACGTTATGTATAATAAAACTTTTGTGTCAATTAAAAGACAGTAGTGGCTTATTTTTAAGGCCAAGGACCACACATTATTGTTAAAAAATTACCTGTAATCATTTACTGTTTTTTTTTCTGAAGACTTAAAAAAATAATAATAATATCAAGCTCATAGTTTTGAATTGCTAATGCTCATTTGTCATATACATTACCAGCACACTTAATGTATATCTCTAAATAATTAACAATGAAAAATTAATCTAAAGACATTTATTGGACATAAGCCATTAACTATTAATAAAATACAGAAGCTGATCAGTACTAACCTTGCGTAATTTTGGCAATAATTCCGCAAAGACTGTTTATTCCTGTAAATAAGATAATTGTGTTTATGAATCTGAGCAACCACATATATACAGCATTCTAAAGAATTAAGAAGAAAAAAAATTTTTTTTCTTTTTTCGCTTGAAAAGATAAGGTTATTAATCACTATATTTGTTACAGCAATAAAACTTAGGAAAATAGACAGTATATCTGTTGATTTTTTTCAGAGTAAAAATTACAAGATCCCAGTTTTAATCTAAAAAACAATACATTAATTTAATAAATTGAAACTTAACTTATTCTTACTTTAATTATTTAGCACACTATAACTTCTAAACTATAAATCATAAATCCTTGAAATTCCAAAATAAATAAATTGAATATTTTCAGAGAGTAACATATTATTAATTTTATATTAAAAAAATTTTTATTTTATATAAGAATCTTAAAATCATATAATACCTACCTTTATCTTCAATTAAATTGTTTGATAAATCTATAGTATGGAGAGGTGTGTGAGGATTAGCAATAAGAGCTAACGATAACTTATATGCAAAATCCCTGAAAAAAATTATTTACCATTAATAGGTAATATATCCATCAAATTAATTAATTGTTAAGAAATCAAAAATCTAACCAACAACCTATTTCAATTGCAATGTATTAAGAAAATGTTTATCAGAAGTTTTAATATTGCTTATTTAATAATGTACAATGGTAAAAATAACAGCAAAATTATTAGTACTTATCTCTATTATTACAATGTACTAATTGGCAGTTTATGCTAAAATTATATTTATACTAGAAATAGAGGATTAAAGCAGTATTTCCTACGAAGTTTTTCATGATTCAGTCAAGTTGCTGCAAAATTCTGATACCTCATAAAATAATTTTTATAATCATATTTCCAAATGTTTAAAAAATGCAAATTAAACAAAACCTTGCAAATTGAAACTGAACCAAAGAAACAAAAAAATGGTGAGTTGGTTTACAGTTAAAATTTAAAATCTAAGTTAAAGGATCAAAAATAGGAAATTAATTTTTTCTATCATTTATTATAATGTTATATCTCTTATTAATTGTAATGTGAAATATAAAAAAATTAGAGTAGAGGAAATTTTAAACTTTCTTCAACATCCTAAATGAAATATAATTAAGAAATATCCAAATCCACATTACTTCAGAAAAAAAAAGTTCAAAACAAAACTTACCATTTCAGGCCTGTATTATCTAAATAAATTTCCTCAAGAGCAACGGATCTGCGCAAGACAAGTAAAACCACATCTAGTGCCTCTGAAATCTACAAAACAAATTGCAGAATTTAGTTATAAGTGCTGAGAAAACTTTTTTTGTTAACATTAATCATTTATATAAAGAAAAGAAACTTGAAAGGTATGAAAAGTTTTTGAGACAATTTTTATTGTATCAAGTGAAACAGAAACATTTATCTCTCACATTGCATTACAAAATTTAATAATGGTCATGAAAGAAATAACTAAAATAAGTAATTAACAAAGATCAGATATGCACAACCTATAAACCACATACCAAAAATAGCCAAAGAAGCATTTTGATAGGGGTTCTTGAACAGTCTTAAATATTTATAAAAATATGAAAGAAAGAGTAACAGAAAAAACATTTTTAGTTACGTTTTGTAATAGCAATTTACTGAACATACCATCTTCAAATTATCAGAATGTAACCAATTCCAATCACATTAATTAGAGCATTAGTAACAATTTAAGTTTGCTGAATACTAGTAAAAGTTAACTCCTGGGATAAGCTAATATTATTAATATTCTGTTGCCAATAATTTTGTTGTTTAAATTTGCTTCGTAATATTATAAGAACCTATATCTGATTGAATTTGTTTCTGCAACATGTTTTTATTAATTAATTTTAATTTTCATAAACTACAACACCAAGTAAATAGTCATTAGCTAGAGGCAACACATTTTTTAATAAATTTCCAGCTAAGGAATAAAAAAAATTGTTTTTAGAAAATCGACTTTATTTGTCAAGAATCCTCCTTCAAAAGTGATAAATTCATTCCAACACTCCTCTAACTTTTTGATGCCTTTGATGTAGAACGATTAGTTTTCACTCTCAAAATAAGCCTCAGTTTCAAAAATAACTTCTTTCCCTAGAGCTTCTTTTTTAAGTATGCAAAGAGTATGCTTGGGTTCAGATCTGCATAGTATGCTGAAAGGGGAAGTAGTTCTAAGGGTAATTTATTCATCTTAATTATCATTTTCCTCAACTTGTGACAAGGGGCATTGTCTAAGTGAAACAGAACTTTCTTTCTTCTCATGTGAGAAAGTTTTTTTTTGATTTCCTAGCTCAGTCAATCCAATAATGCCAACAGTTTTATGTTTTTTAAGATAATCAATTAACAAAATACCAAGTGTGTCTCAAAATACGAAAGCATAACCTTTCTCGTTGACTTTTGTGTTTTTGGTAGCTTTAAACATTTTCTCCCCGACTGCTGTCCATTCAACAAAAGATCTTCTTGATTCAGGAGTGCAGCAGTGGATCCATGTCTTATCCATTGTCACATTGCTGACAAAAGAAATCCTTTTTATTTCGCTTTAACAGTTCCAAACAATGCTCTAAATCATTAACATGTTTTTTTGTTTCTTCTTTTTTGGTGAGAAAAGACAGTACCCATTACGTCAGCTTGCACATGCTACAGTTTTCATGTATAATTATAAACAAACTACCTTATGATATCGTTAAGGTTTCAGCTATCTCATGGAACAATACTTTACGCTCATTTTACTACTTTACTAAACTGTTTTGATGTTTTATGGAAAAACTGCTGATTAGGGACAACCAGAGAGTTGAGCACCACAGGGTCTTTACGATCACATTTAAGCTCAGAATACAGAATACAATAATAGTGGATTTCTCCGGTGCAGAATCTCCATAACTCTTTTCAAACCACTGTTTTGCTTCAACAGTATTTTTCCAAATTAAAAAATAGTGCTTAATCAAATCACAATATTCTTTTTTATCTATTGTTTTAAAAATTACAAAACTAGGGTCACTAAAATCTCTTTTCATCTCCAAACTACTGGCCCACCATTTTTAACAAATAATTAGACATCAATGACAAGCAATGAGTTTGTTGGTACCGGCAGGAAGTGTCAGTGTTGAACCCACAACAGCAAAATATGACAAATTATAATTGACAGATAAAAATTATGATTAGTTGACATGAAAATTTATTTTGTATTAATTGCTTGAATTTATTTGCATACCACCTCAATTGAATATTTCTCAACTACTAACAAACGAACAATCCGCTAAAAAAATTTTTAAATATATTATTATAAAAAACAAATTATGATAGTTTAGTTTTATGGCAATAATCATGAAAATTTTCCAAACAAGAATCTACTTGATTGGAGAGTTCTAATCATAGTGTACTAATGTAAAAAAATTACAATTATAAATCAGGGGAAAATTTCCCAAACTGGAAAAATCAATCTGTCATTGAAAGAATAAAATAGCCAAAGGTTCATGCAAATATTTTCTCTTCTGCAATTGAATTTTTATCAATTTTGCAACAATGGAGAGAACTCATTAACAAATATGTAATTAAAAAATAAAAGTAAATAACGAGTAAAAATTAAGTATCTAATCTCAATAGAGTATTTTCGTTTTGGTAGAAAAATATATTCAGATACTTTTCATAATACTCTGTATAATTAATATATAACTTACACTTAAACTGCTTAATATCATATCAAATAGTTTTTTTAAAAAATCCAAAAATTAGTAACTTTACTACTCAAAAATTTTTCCAGTTTTAAGATATTAAAATCTTACCAATTTAACGCCAGTGGCTCGGAACTTTGTAAACCATGTGTTGAACATCAGAGCTGAAATAATTGGCATTAAATCCCTGTAAAGAGTTTAAAAAAATTAGTAAAAGAATACAATTTAAGCTAAAAAAAAAAAACATTAGATTCTCAATAATAGTTAAGACTAAGTCATTTTTCTCTTTCTAATATAATAAATTATGCTTTACAATTTCAGAGAAATAGTAAATATTGGAATATTATAAGAATTTTTTTAAGAATCATTTTATTATTATTTTAACTTTAACTAAACACAGCATACATAGAACAGAGGGAAAAAAAGTGCAAAACTCTGAACAACTTTTGACCTGATGGGGTATTAAAACATCTATGGTTCTCGGGAAACAATTACAAGTTTTGGGGGGAAGGGGATTATTTGTCACCCTGTGCCAGCGAGAGTAGAAGACCAAGTTTGGTTAGCTGCTTCACTCTGTCGTCCTCTGTACAGTTTTTTGTGTTCTACACATATTTTTATAAAGATGTATAGAACACAAAGACCCTCAAAGACTCAATAGACCCTTAGGGATTTTAACTTGATTGAAGACACAATTAGGAACGATTGACACTCAATGTAAAATTTTGCGCATGAAAACATGTATGCATATAGTAAGCAATAACAGGTTTAATGAAATAATATCAAAACTAAGTCACGTCATAATCAGTAAACTTCTTGCCTTCAGAAAAACAGTTCATAATGGGCTCTGAAGGAGTTAATTATAGTTAGATAGTTTTTTTTCAATCTCATGATTGAATTTAAAAAAATCTTCAATGTAATAATCTTCAATGTATTTCATTTACTAGCAAAAATAAAATTATCATTCATGGTTGAACAATAATTATTATTATTATACAATTATTAATAACTAAATAATAATACATAAAAATAATAAATTTAATTGTAATTAATAATAATTATTAGATATTAATTACAATTATATCAAACCAAATACATCCATATCATAATGTATCAAATTGAATATATATATCAAATATCATATTTATAATAACTGCATACTGACAAAAAATCACATTACCTCCCATCTAGATGATCAAAATCTAAAAGTGACAATTCTTTGCTATCATGTGATAAATAGATTGTATCTACATCCTGAAACAAAAATTAAAAATTAGCATTGAAAAAGCATATAAGAAAATTTTCCTAGCATATAAAAATAAGGAGCATAAATTAGCATATTAAATATATGTTCATCAAAAAAAAATTTTAAATTATACTATGGTTATGGTTACTGTGCACAGCAACTGGGCACAAAAATAAATTTACATACTGATATTAGGGAAGTTGTGCATTAAAACATGCCAACTTTAAACATGCCAACGGCCTATGCATAGGGTAATTCACAACTCCCCTTCCATCTTTTCTGAAAGCCTTATTTTAAAAAAAGCATAACAATATGAAATTAAGTTAGTTTATCACGAATGCAAATTAATAAGAGAGGCCTAAGCATTTTGAAGGTTTTAATTTGCCTAGAAATAAATTAAATATAAATTTAAGTGAAATTAATAGCAAAAAAAAAAAATATATGCCCCCTACAATTTCTAACAAATATGAACAAGCGATCAACACTGAATAATCACTTCCTTCCACTACCCATTTTTTTTTTCTTGGTTTTTTCCCCATCACAACTGAGTCAAATTGAAACTGAAATAATATCCTACAGATATTAAAGACAGAACTGAAAAGGAGAGATTTACTGGAAGAGAGGGTATGAGAATGAATAGTAGAAAGTACAGAAAGAGCTTTGCCTTCTGAGAATTATTCAAAGATTATGAGAAAAAAGCTGATTTAACAGAAGAGTGTGTCTTTTGCATTTTTTTCATGGAAGCAATGATGGCTCGTTCCATTTCTGATCAATGAGGTGAGAGGAAAAAAGAGAAAGGGAAAGGAACAATAGTAAGGTGAGAAAAAGCTTTACTTTCTAAGAATTATTCAAGGGAGATGAGGAAAAACTGGTCCAAAAGGAAGGTGCGTAGTTTACTCGACTTTTTAATACAGTAAAGATGACTTTGTTCATTCTCGATAAATGGCTTAAGAGAAAGGGAAAGAGAATTGGAGGGAATGAAAGAGTAGAATGAATAAATCTTTTTTTAAAAAAATTTATTCAAGGTGATGAGAAAAAACTGGTTTAACGTAAAGTTGCATAGTTTTGTTTTCAGTTTCAAGAAAGTGAAGATGGCTTGTTTCATTCCTGGTATGTGACGCAAACAGCACAAAGCAGGAAGCTGACCATTTTGATGGTTTTACACATTATTTTCCAAATTGATTTTGATTTTTTCCCTTAAATTTTCTTCCAAATTTGTAATAAATAGGCTGAATTTCATGTAAATCTTTTGTTTATCTTGATTTGATTATTTTTCATTGATTGCACATGTAATGATCACGGCAAAATTTTTCATAAAAAAAATATATAAGAAATGTAGTTATTAAAAGAAAAATATATTTTAGAAATCTATTCTTGTAATTATGTTTTCAAAATCTATTTAATTAAATTATTAAGTTTAAGGTTTAATATTGTGTTCATATTTCCTATAAATACAATTATTAATATTTTTGGCAGTCATCAAATCCAACATGTAATTTTACCAGTTGTAATTGATATTTAATGATCGGCACCATATAACCACCTCTCACAAAAAAGCATGTATTTTATCAAAATTTGTGGCGATGCTTAATCGGTATTTTAAAGTCATTAAAAATATTGCTTAAAAAGTCAAATTTAAAATTTAGATAATTATGTCTATTATTTATTAATTAAAATTGCATTGATAATTGGCAGTTAGCAACAATATTAACAAGGGAATTATCATCAAGAAGCTGAGCTAGTGCTACTAAAAACTAATAAGTCTCATCAAATTTAAAATTAAACAGACATTAACTAATATCACCATATATAAAAATAAAATATATTTAAAAAGTTTAAGATAACAGTACAAAATAGTAGAATTAATGAACTTTCTCTTTCCATTGTAAAATATTATTGCTTGAGTTAGTAGCATTCTAATACAATTTCAAGGTCCAACTTGGAAAAAAATCTACTTAGGATTTCTCAAAGGAGTCTTTTTTTTTTCTGACACTATAGCAACTCACCCAAGCAACTTCCTCTCTATATGGTAGGCCATGGTAATCACACATACAAGCATACTGAGTAGAGTATCCTCCACAAGGACCAGTATCTTTAGTTTCAATCGCATGATTGTACTCCAACATTGCCTGTAATCGGGTTGGTGGATGAACATCCAGTTTCCTGATTACATGCCTAAAAAATTAAAAAAAACATCTCTTTTAAAAAGAAAAAAGGAGTACAGATTCTAAGAGCTATTTTATTACAAATATATATTTAAAGAAAAAAAATGACTCTAGAATAAACTTCAAAAAAAAAATTATGTTCATGATTATTTATGTAGTTTAAGTGAATTATTTATACTAAAATTATTTATAAAGTAATTCAAAATTAAACAAATAATTAGAAAAAGAAAGTGATATTTAATGTGCTTGATTTAAAGAATTATCGAGAACGAAAATTAGATTCTTGTGCAAAATAATAGATTTGAGATATTATTTAAAATATATATTAGAAAAGAGAATTAATTTTGAAATGTAAAAAGATTTGTATATGTATGCATTATAAAAGGGTGTATGCATTTAAACAATACTTTCCATTTAAACATGATAAAAGTTAACAATATTAGCATAATAGATGAAGAGAAAGAAATCATGAAAATATGAATTATCATTCTAAGCATCGAAATGTTAAGTTCATTATTTGATAATTTTTTTAAAATACGAATGAAATAAAGTCAAACTACGAGCACAATAATAAACCTTCCTCCTTTTTAAGCTTATATTTTAAAAAAAGTAATATTTTATTATTGACACAGATTTATTGACTATCGTTTAACTCCTTCAAGTTAGAGTTCAATCAGATGTCGATAGCTTGAAAGACTTTATGCTATAAGATTAGGCTGATAAAGATTGTCTCAAATATCTTCTTTAACAAACAGAACTCATATTATGGTTTCACGTTTATCAACTTGCTGTAAGTTAGAAAGCAAATAAAAAGTACAAAAAACTTGTAATTACTAACATTAAATTGCCCCAATCCTTAATGTTACTTCTAAATTATGCTTCATTTCGTATTGGTTTCACTTTGTTTGTCTATATCTAGTGATACTTCACCAGGTGCCATCAGATGGCAACAACATGCGGCTCACTAATTTGCCTTAATTTAACTACTTCCAATACCTAACTCACCTACAGTTTCATTAAGATGAGGATTAAGTATCGATATACAGTGAAACCTCGGTTAAACAGACACTCTTGAGACTGAAAAAATTGTCCGTTTATGAGAGTTGTCTGGTTACGGAAAGGGTACCGTAATAACAAAGTTTAACATGTAAATTGTTTTTAGAATACTGCAAGGATATTTATTTAAACTTTAAAACACTTTTTTGTATACAAAAGAAATATATGAGGAAGTTTTATATAAATACATAATTCTAGATGTAGCTACAAATAAATCAATATAATTTTCTTATTAACACAGATATTCAAGTTAGTCACATGATATAGAATAGAAACTTTTAGTCCTCAGTCGGTTTCAATTATTCGGCTTACACCCCATAACTTGACAGGAAATGTGGTTAATACCTCCTTGAAAGTAAACTTCCCACACTTCACAGAAAAAAAAGAGAAATTAATCATCTATCAAGTGTTAGAATAAATGCTTCATTTAAATGAGCACCTCAATGATTATATTTCAGTTCCCTTTTTTTTTACCCCAGCAAATACAGTCTTCAAATTCATATGAAAATTAAAGAAATTTTACGTGGGGTCGAAGCATTGAGAGCATTTAAGACGTCATTTCAGCTTATGGGGTCTGATAACCTGTATCGTCCAGATAAAAAGATGCCGCTCTCCGAATGAGTAGTATTATTTTCTCTTCTTTCTTTGCAAAGATAAAGCAAGGTAACAGGAAAAAGATTGATTCTTTAGTAGTAAGCTTAACAATATTTTTAGTTATGGATAAGGCAAAAAATGTACATGCTTTAAAAATGGTGAAAAGTTGCATACCTTTTTTCTTGCAATTTAACGCAAAAGAAGTTTCTTTTTTTTTCAAATGTAGAAAAAAAAGTGTCCAGTTAGAAGAGACAGAAAACAACTTCTCAGGGCAAAAATAACTGTCCATTTCCGGTTACGGGAGTGTCCACTTTGTGGAGAATGTACATAATGGGTTATTCGTAGAAGATTCACGAAGAATTAAAAATATGTCCGTATAGATAGGCGTCGAAGAAGCGTTCATAACAGGATGTTTCTCCAAATTTGATATGTTCTTGAACATAAAATATCATTCACTCTTACAGCATTTTCATTTTAGCAATGAGACTGGTCATTGTGATGTCTTTCAAAAATTCATTACATGAGAAGCCAGTGCAGATCAACTGTGGCCATGGAATATTGTTAGAAATCAGTTACACCATTAAAAAGATACCAATAGATTTTTGTACTGAAAGTTTACTCATTCTACTTGTAGATATATTACAGACCTTGCATTAGTCACCACACAGTAAATGTTATTGGGTTTATCTCGCAGCTAAAAACAAATAGTGTGAAAGTTATATTCCAGAATTTCTCTTGAAAAACAAATAAAATCTTTTAATTTCCAGAAAAACAGAGTGATATTTTGTTGCTTTAATTACATCAAACTTAGTTATCAAATTTAAAAAATGCATCAAAGAATAAATGGCTAGATCTCTAAGGGTTAAATGAGAAAAGAAAAAAAAACTACAATTAGCTCAAGAGCAATGACCCGTGATTTGTCATTTGCTGCAAATAAATATGATGAAAGCCAGGAGCAGAATATGAAATGGACAAACAATTGCAAGGACTTATATCAGAAGGAAGCATTCCATCCTTCTACCATGACCAGAAGGAAAAAAATATTAAACTTATCTATAACTACCCTGCAGCCCACAAAATAATTCTTTTAATATCAGGATAAAGAGAGCAAATTAAATTTTATAAATTCAATTACAGATAAGTCAGCAATAATTTTTTTTTTATTTTTTTATTTCTGTAAAAAAGAAAATTTAAAAAAAAGGGAGAAACTTACTCTAAAGGCACTTGAGGAAAGATGCTTTTGACAGCAGTTCCCAATTGGCTAATCATATGATTAACATCTTCTGACTCAGGGTCAAACGAAAAGAATGTAAATATTTTGTTATCAACGGTCAGACAAAGCTACATAAAAAAAAGATTTATTAAAAATTAATAGCACTCAAACCAATATAAAAAATAGCTATTATTTTTAATTTAATAAAAATATTAACAAAAAGATTAACATAATTTTATTAGTTAATTGAAGTTTGATGTTTTTCTTTGTTTTTTAAAAAGATGTCGACAACAATATGAAACAATATTTTATTAGATTTGTTGAAAGGATTCAGAAATATTATAAAAACAGTAAATAAAAACTAATTATCAAAGATAAAAAAGTTTCTAAAAAAAATAAAATATAACAAAACTTACTCAAATAAAAATAAAATCATTTTTTAAAAAAAAAAATTTAAACTGAACAAAACAGAGTCACATAATCTTGAAAAAGATTAAAATGAGACAAAGTTTATTAAATGTAGTCAATCATAGCAGTTCAACAGCAACTTTCATTTTTAACTACCTTCTGATTTTATTAAACTTTTAAATGTTATTAAGTAATTTAGGAAAAGTTTTTAAATTGAAATTTATATTGCATTTAAGCTAACAGATCTAAAATTAAAAAAATTTGAGGAGTTTCTTCTCGAATTAAAATAAAATAGATAAAGCTGACAAATTCTCTTAAAATCAATTCATATATTTAAAAACTATAAAAGTAACTACTGTCAAGATTAAGTTTAAAAACTGACATGCAAATCCTAAATATAGGAATTAGAGTCTAAATTTTACTTTTTTTTTCTTTCAATAGTGTCCATAAATTACAATTCGACTAGATTTCTGTTCACATATTACAATCTCATTTTTCATTGTAGAAATAGACTTTATTTTTGAAAGACATAAGAAAAAAAATTTTGTTAAAATTACAAAAGGAACAGTAAATTATTAATTAAAAATATGAAGGATAAAAACATTTTAATATAAAATGAGTAAATAGTAGGATACTAATTCAACATATACAGCAATTTTTTTATGCTAAGTTTTTTAAAAAAAATTCATAACAATTATCCAAAAGTTTCATAACATTCGTTTAGTTATTACATCTAAAAAATAGACTAAGAGCAGTGAAAAGAGGTCTACAGTTTAATTATACAGTTTTAATCAGTGCATAAATTTACTTTGCACACATGAAAACTTTGCAAAATGGCTTAGTTCTTCATAAGTGATTTTGAAAAATCAAAAATACTCATTACTTTTCTACAATTCTCGAGTAAATATATGATGTACATAGGACCACTGTGTCCTACTCCCTTCCATTTATAGTTCCACTACCACTAAACCATATAAAACTTGTAAAATGCATAAAAATAATTATTACTAAAACGATAAAATGTATACCCAAATCATAATGTATTAGACATTCAGCAATAACATTTAGGAAAGTGAACGAATTATAATTTTAATTTAGTAAAGGAAAAGATGCTATCATTTACATAAAAAAAATATATTGTATAGAATTTTTTGTTAAATAAATTAATAAATTTCCTTACTTGATTATTTTTTTTACTTTCTATTGCCTGGAGGTCTAAATAATGGAATGTGTGTTCAATCTGCAAAAGAAAAGATATTGTCAGAAATATATTTCAAGCATTTGTTAATAACGTACAGCATTAGATTTAAAAAAATAAAAAAAAAATTATAAAAAAATGTGTGACTATCCTGAATCCAACTAAATGCAAGCCTCAAGTATCAAGAATATTTGGAATGTTATAAAAAAAAATCATATAAACATTATAACATTCGAATACAGAAAAAGAGTAACTATCTTCTTTTTTTACCCTAGCAGCAAAATAACTTGGGCCCAATCTATACATCGCAATATTGGACCCTCGGTGCATATTCTTATAAAGCCCATATTGAGCCCAACTGAGAGCAAAGTAAAATTGTTGCTGGAGTATCGATAAACCAAAAATGCAAAGTTCATGTGACAGCATTGTCACGGTTAGGTTTCGAGAGAAGGTGAAGAGGAAGAAGTGCTGAATAGGAGAAAATGAAGTAAAATACAATATTGAATTGACAATAACATTAAAAAAAAATTAAGTGAGTGTTTCAGGATTTGTCCCAATTTAAAGTTCCTTTGAATTAAACCCATTGTCATATGATCAGTGACTTTAAACAAAGAATACGACAACATAAATAATGAATATTTTGAAGTTTTAGACTAAATATAGATTTTTCTGTTATTTGCTTTCTATCCCACTTTGAATTTTTCAGTTTTATTACTTAAATAAACTTTTGTTTCTTTATCAACATTTCTATTGTAGAGCAGATTTTTTTCCTTCTTTACTTAGTACTTTTTTCTTGTGGAAAACGGAGATTTTCAGCATTACAGTTTTGTTTTCAGAATTAAGAACAATTGCATTTTATGTTTCTTTTTTAACTATTTGTTTATTTTGACCTAACTTTCATTGTCTCTTTTTATTAAGACACAATATTTTTCAAGAGCGTTTCTGCCAAATTCTTTTCTTTATCGTCAGTTTATCATCACTTTTTCTAATAATCTACCGAAAATTACTATAAACTGTAATCAAATAAAAAATACTGATTTGTTTAGAAAAACTCATTTTGACATAATTTTGAGGAGAGAGTTAAATCTATATTTTTCTTTCCAGTGGAAAAAATTATTGGCCAATACTTTCGCCAAAATATAATTTTATTTGCCAAATCTACAATTTTTTCACATTTAATGAGATATCGAATTCCCAGCACAAGCCCTGTATATACATATATTTTTATTTTATACATATACATAAATATGTATGTATGTACATGCATATATATATACATATATTGCATATGTGTTGCAACATTATGTCTTCCATTATTATGAAATCTATTTTACTCATTAATTTTGTTTTTATATTAGCGTCAGTATTTGTATACACATAATTGCTACTATTTGTTACAAAACTATTTATTATTATAAAAACATTAACATTTTATCAAAGTTTTTATGGTAACAAAAATACGAGGAAAGTAAAATAAAAATTCCAATTTCTACTTACTTTTGTTGGAACTTTAGCTGTAAGTATAAATAACCTACAAGCAGAAAATGCCTGAAAAATAAAACATATTAGTTATGTGAACAATATGAAGATAAAAAAAAATAATTAAACATTTGAATTGACTACGACAATGAAAAGATAAAACATTTATGTTTAATTAACATATGGCAATATTTCAAAATTAACATATGGAATTTTTTTATTTTTCAGCGAAACAATTTTATTAATAATATATTCTTTAAAGTAAGCTGCACTGCGTTAAATCTTATCACTCCATCAAAAACAATTAAAGGGGTAATTTATTTTTTTCTTCAGTACATTCTTCTAAAAAAGTGAATTATATAAGTTATTTAAATTATGCTTCCATAAAATTAACAGTTTAATTAAGTATGAAACTAGATTTATTTAAGTGGAGATTATTTTTTTTCTTAAATTTTTATCTTTTTTAAATGAATTGATTTTACAAGCCCAGCCAACTGAGCAGGATAAACATTTGCTTGCCGTGAAACATTAATTGCTAATAATTAACATAACTAATTGTTTTGCTTTAGTTCTTTCAGCAGTACTATTAAAACTAACTATTTTCTTATAATTAAAAGTAGCAAAATGCTACCTAACACCTTTTGTTTTAATTCAATTCATTTCATTTATAACTACTCACTGCAGTTGTAAATCGTGATTTCTTTCCAAATTTATTTGCAGTGGCAATATTTATTAGTTAGCTCGTAAAAAATAAATTAAAACCGCTCAGACATGCGTGATAATATTTAATTCTAATAAAATAGGAAGATATGTAGCTATGAGTATTTTTTTATTTTATTAAATTTTAAGATATTAGAGTTCTATGAATTTAAAAAGATGAGTATTGAAAATATTTCTAACTATTTCTAATTAAAATATTTCTTAAAATGAAATTATTTCTAAACTTTAAACTAGAGTTTTCTTGAAACTAAGATCTAATTTGCTTTTTTTTTTCCTTTATGACAAAAAAAAGTATTGGATGGTTTCGAAAATTACATATAATTTTATATCAAAAGTTGTAATGCTTGAAGGGTAAATAGTTTATTCGAGCAAACTAATGATTTTTAAATGAAAAAATAATCTAAAAGATCACGGGAAATATCAAATATACCAAATATCATCAAAATTTCAATGATCAATAGTTGTTCATCAGTTATAATGGATCAGACTTTTGTTAGACTTGAAGTCAATGAATACAGACAATATTTAAAGTAACAAAACTAAATATACACATAAATAAACAATGTTCAGTTACCAGAACTCGATTCTCTGTTTTCTCTGGTTTTGTTTCCAAGCGAACTGGGCACTTTAAAGATATTTTCACATTTCTTCCTAATATGTGACGAATACTTTCTACATATGAAGAGAAAAAAATTATTTCACCAAATAATCATCATTCAAAGAAAAACTAATTAAATTTTTTAAAAAAAGTAAAAATTATAAAAAATTTCAATAGATCAATTTAGGATAAATATAACTAATAAGTAAAACCCATTACAAAATAACTACTATTATTTGTAATTAAGAAGATAATAAATTTAATAAATGAATCAACTTAAATCCCACAACTTTCCCAATGACATTTTTTCAATGTAGTACAATAATCAACATACATAAGATCACTTGATTGTTAACTTAACTTAAAAAGAAATTTTTTATTGAAACTTCAAAAAAAAAAGCAATTTATGTTACTCAATTTTACAAGAAAATAATATTGTATTTAATTTATAACATGAAAGATTCAGTTCAACATTATTTATGTCAATAATAATGCGCAATCAAAGCTTATAAAAAATGAAACTGAAAAACAATCATGATTTAATCTATTGAATGCATTTCTATGTATTTGGGGTGGATTAAAAATGGATTTTGTTTGAAGTTTTGTAAAATAATATATTTAAGTGTCTTATTTTTTAAATAGATTACCGTGAAGTTCACGAGAAATCACTCCTTTAGCAGACATTTTTAGTAAAAGGTACAAATGCTAGGCGAAATTAGACTAGAGTGTAAGGTGCATTATTAGAAAGTTATTTATAAAACTGATAAACAACAAAATGAAGAAAATTTTACTAATTCAATATCAAAACCACAACATAGAGGAGGGAGTGCCCCTCAACAGAATCCATTACATGTCTGCTCTGCTCGCGGTTATAGACATTATTTTCACAAAACTGATTAAATATTAGAATTTATAAGGTATTTTCAAGAGGTATAAGCCTTTTGTTAAAATAGATAAATATGAATATTTTTAAATAAAAAATTCAATAAGCAATTTTAGTTTAGACAATAATTTTCATCATTTAAAACGAAAATAGTTTCTTTTTGGTTTGTCGTATAAAACGCAAGTTAAGATAAACAGAAATAGACAGCTGGAACTACTTAGTAATCAAGTAAACATACAACATTTAACCAAATCAGAAGCAAATATGTCAAGTTATATAATGATGTTTTTAAGAACTAAATTTAGTTGGAATGGAACTAAATTTCTTGTAGTTAAACAATATAGTAATAAATATTAGCCTTTTTTATAAATTACGTACAGTGTTAAACGTTTTTAAATTATATTTTTCAAAAGTAACCTTAAAAAGTGAAGGCACTCATTATAAATATATGCATTTGTCATAAAAGTTTTTAACTTTATAATATGTTACTTTTAGTAACAGTTAAAAATTACTACCTCTATAGTGTCTCCGTTTTAATTCTAAAAATTTATTTTCTCAGGCGTAAAATCAATATGTATTATGAACGTTTGGTGTAGTTTGATTTATTACTTTTCTAGTTGCGAATTCTTTATCATCTGTTATTTTTAAACACATAAAATTTGCTAGTTTATAATCCATTTGGTACTTGCGATTGTAGTTAGCTTAACAGATCATGATGCAGAGCTATCCCAATATTATATTTTAACATATGAAATATGTGTATAGAAATGCTAACACTTTTTGTTATTATTCAGATAACTATATTGTTTGAATTCACCTTAATAAAATTTCTAGATAATAAATTCAGTGCTGTATATTTTTGTTAACTTATTTGTATAACAACCTATTTCCTTTGATATTGTGTATAATTATTATTTTTAAATTTAGATTCAAGAAATCAAGTTGCTCTACTTCATAAAAGTTTTGTTCTAAAGGCCAATCCGCAAACACAAGAAAATGAGCATGAAGATACGTCAGAATCCGATTCTGATACAAACAGTCAGGAGAATGAAAAGCTAATAAGTTTGAAGTTGCAAATTCTGCATGCAGGATTGAATTTTGTTAAGGATCATGGATGGACAAAAAAATCAGTTGCACTTGGTATTATATTTTTCCTATTTGATTACGTTTTAATTTCTTAATTAAAGAAAAGTTTTTTGTATTAGCAAAACAACTTGGAACTTTTTTATATAATGTTAATTAAATGCCTGGTTTAATTATCTCTTCCCCCCCCCCTTGCATATTTATAGATATTCAAGACAAAATTGCATCCAATTTTCCAGAAATGTCTATTTTTTGGACATTTTTTTAAAAATCAATATAAACAGATTATAGTTTATATAAGAAATTATATTGTAGTTTAAAACTAATCTTGAATTCAATTCATAATTTAGTTAAACCTACAATCTTATATAATTTAATTGCATATATAGAATCAAAAATAAATAGCATCTTGATTTGTTATCATACAAAGTAAAGAAACCTTTTTTAGAATTTCATAAATTGAAGATAAATTCAATATTTCTTGTTGTTCTTCTCTGTTACAGAGCAAGCTTACAGAACAGAATTATTTTTTTTACTATATATCTGATTTATTACTATATAGTTGATTTATAATAATTTTGACTATTCTGTTAATTTATTTCCAATTTCTTACTTTATATAATTATATAAATGGCAAACAATTGATTAATAGATGTTTAGCATTTTGTTATTCTAATCTCTTTTTGAAGCATTTAATTTTCAAAGATTCCGTCATTAATTCATAGTCTTATGATTTTTTTTTATGACAGTTATTACGCCAGATTTCCACACTGTCTTTAAAATTCCTATATTTTTAATAGGGGGTTATTGCAGAACACAATTTTTGAATAACACTTAAAATCTCAAGATTTTAGATACGACTTGCTATCTGATGACTAATACAAAAAAAAAGAGAGATACAGATTACAGGTTTAATACAAAATCCATGTGTAGTAACATTGTATCAAAATATCAAGATTTTAAACACACGTTCAAATTAATAGAATAATTGCCTAAAAGAGAGAAAAAAGACACTTGGATTTATGGCAGAAATAAAAACTTTTTTTCATACGGAAAATTTTAAGCGAGTAACTTTGACATCTCTATTACTAATTCAGGTAATACAATACACTCTCGATTATCCGTGTGGGGATTATCCGGTTTGCGGATTATCCATGCTCATTCTGGAGTCGTACAAAAAATTTAAAGAGAAAAATTTTTATTCGTGAAGTTATAACACTGCCAAATCTTTGGAAAGCAATATTCGTTATTAGATTGCAGTATATGGAATATCAGCAGCACAGTCAAAGGTAAAATCGTCTATGTTATCACGATCCTGGGAAAAGATCATACCGCTTGATGAATAACCTTCTTCAGATATTCAGGAAGAATATAATAATAGTATTCTCGAACAAGCAAAAGAAATCTAAGGTTTTGAAATTCTTGATGAAGAAAAATTAAAATATAGGTTTCAAAGTGATGCATGTGAGCCTGGCTTCCAGTATTTGACAGATGAAGACATCGTTATGTTGTTAAATCAAATAGTGATGATAGTAACAGATGCAGAAGATGTAATAAGTGAGGGAAATACAATTTCTGCTGCTCTACAATCTGTTGAAACTTTATTAGATTATATAGGAGTATTTGATTACAGTAACTTAACTATTGTTCGTAAAATATGTGTCAATATGCGGCGTATTACACATTTTTTTAAAAGAAAAATTCCTAGTTTGATGTTATACGGGATGCAAACGAAAGTAATTTTTATATTTTTTGTACTGATATGGATTTTTTCTTTAATAAAAAGAAGTTTTCGGATTATCCGTGTTTTTCGATTGTCCGTGTGACCTGTCCTGGTGATTAACCCGGATAATCGGGAGTGCACTGTATATCCAAAATCCAGAAATTTCATAAAAGTGGAGCTGTAAAACTCCTGAACTGTCTGAATTTTCACGTTTATACTGTATTAGTATTACCTACTGCTTTATTTTCTGAAGTAATATTGTATCTTTGTATCCGAATTAAAGTAATGAAATGCGTTAATTATATTAAATTTAACTATATTATTCTATTTTAGGAGCTCAGTCTGTAGGTCTGTCACCTTCTTCACACACATTGATAAGTTATGGGGGAGCTGATCTTGTTCATTATTTTAACTTTCTTTGCAATGAAAATTTAAACACACATCTGAAAAATCATGTTTTAGAACTCAATAAAAAGTAAAAATTTATATATTGTGAAATATTTTGTTTTTAAATGTTTTGTAAAAATTATACATTATTTTACCTACCTTTAAATTTGATACGTTGATGAAGAAACTTGGAATATAATTTCTTCATCTGAAAACTAAAATGACTAAATTCTTAGTGTAAATTGTAGTTGTCCTTACTTATTTTTTAACTTTTTTCTCATAAAAAAGCATTATAAAAATATAGATTATACAAACTAAACAGTGTTACAATTTAAAACACAGAAATTTAATATTTAACAAAGAAATAGAGCTGTTAGTTGTATAACTATGAATGCAACAAAATGATACTTTTATAATTTTTTGTGCTAATACTTAAAATACTAATTAATTTAATTTTTTTAATTTAGGTAACTTAGTTGACAAATACCATCTAACTTTTACAAATTTTGATAGAAATAACTATTAGTTGTATAAATCTACAATATTTGAAAAATTTAGTGCTATAAAAATGATCTTATAACCAGATGTTTATTTTGGTTCATTTACTTACCATAAACCAGAACTAAATTACCTTGTAACTAATTAATGGTTAATAGACTTTTCTAACAAAAAATCAATCAATATAAAATAAGTTATTTTTATATAAATAAATTATTTTTATTAAAATAATCATTTTGAACTTTATAGCAAAACATTAATTTATAACAGGTGATCAAAATGGGTAGTTTATGAGAAGATGAAAAGAAGAATTTTTTAATTAATTAAACTTTTTTTTAAATATTCCTATTCTTTTATAATAACTATAGCCAAAATTCATATATTTTAATAGTCACACAAAATTTACAAGTGATAAAACTGGAAAAGTATTTCTTCATTTTATCATTTATGTTTATCTGCTTTACAAAGGACAAGTTAAAATTCATATGAAGTGCTAAAAGGTAGAAATTTTCTATATATTTTAGTTTAATTTAATGGATTTTTATAATTCATATGTGACATTTTCGAAAAGAAATATTTGAGACATTGTTAGTAAAGCTTTGTTGAAGCTTAGCTTCTGAATCAGAGATAAGTATTTTGTGATTTCATGAGTAAAATATTAATTTCACATGTGATTTTTTAGACTGTCTCCATTTTTCATTAAACTGTTTCTTTGTTTCTATTTTGAAATTAAAGAATATCTTAAAAATTTTAACAATGAAAGTTTTCTCAAATAATTAAGATTCTGAAATCTTTTATTGAAGCAATATATATATATATAAACTGTTTATGGGTCATACATTATTTAATATTTTTTGTCTAAAAAAATTATTTTTGAATTCATTGATCTAACATACATTTCTTTATGACAAATTGGTTTAAAAAATGAATTGCTTAGTTATTTTTTTTTTTATTTAAAGTAAATTCTTTACAAATTTCTAGACAACTGAAATTTTTCGATTTTTTTTTAAAAAAATATTCATTAATAAATGATTATAAAATTAAATATATTTTATCATAAAATTGTTTTAATGCTTTTAATTTCTTATAGTTTGGTGTTTCTTGGACATTGAGTTGTGCAGATGTGTAAATGCACCATATATTTTGTTATGAATAAGTTTGTTTCTGAAGCATTTAATCTATAGAAATTATTATTTTTTAAATGTGACTTAAATAGATAGCTGAAAATAGTTAAGTAACAGAGCTGTGTAATTTTTCCAAAACTTAAATTATTTGAATCATAGTGTACTTAAAATAATTTTAGTGCAATATCTTATGCTATGTTATCTTTTGATTAGGGAAAATATTCAAGAATATATTGAAAGTGCTTTGAAAGAGAGATTGAGTATGGTTTACCCATATGTTTCACAATGGAATGAGGTAAAAGGAGCTTTTAAATATAATTCATACAAATTTTTTTCATTAACTTTGTTATACTCCACTCTGCTTTCATTATTTGATTTTAATATGCTGGTAACTGATATTTTTATGATGTCTAAAAGCTTGCATCAATAAATATAAAAAATTTATAAGCCCACATAAGTACCTCAAGAATACTTAGCTAATGCAACTTTTCAAAGATCATATGATAGGGAAACATACTAACTTAGCAAAACTATCAACTGTTTTCTATTAATATATTTAAAAATACCATTGCTAGACAACATCACAGGATTATTTCACTATAATTTAGTATAATTATTATATATTTGAATTAATTTTTTTTAAATCTTGTCTAACTCTTCTAATTCCTTAAAAGTTATGCTTATGCAAAGTAAAATATAGTTACTTAAATCAATTATGACAATTATTTAACTTTGTGTTAATTCCATTGAGATAAAATTATTTAAAAGTCTAATTAGATTTCATTTTAAACAGACAAAAATTCTAATATAGTCAGTGGCATATTCTGAGTTAATTAGCAATACTGTAGCATGGTTGTCTGTGAAGTAATGAAGAACTTGGCTCATTTTTTTATGTCTGAGACCAAAGACTTTAAATCCAAGCCCGCTCAAGCACTAGATAAATACGGAGTTGTAGCTACTATTGGTTCAAACTGGGTTTTTCCCTGGGACCCCCAAGTGTAAAAAACTTACAAAATGCTTTCTAGTTAAAGAAATATTGCATCACATTTTAATAGTACAGTAGAGAACCATTTATCCGGTATCCAGATAACCGGGAAACCAGAAAACCGGGGAAAATTTTGCTCGATTTTCCCGCCATTTTAAACTAGAACGAAAAAAGCGGAAATTGNATTTTAAATGCAATTTAACTATTCTTTAATGATTGTTTTGCCACAGAGAATGATTAGCTGTAGTGAACTAAGAGAAAATTATGTCTCCTTTAAGTTTTTTGGTCATACAAATTTGATTGATTGAAAAAAAAATTTCCAATATTTCTTTTTAGATAACTACATTTTTTTCTTTTTCTTTTAGGCTTTAAGCCTTATGGTTTCCCCTACTCAGGCTCCAACTGATATAAAAAATCTACTAGAACTTGTTGATATAATTTGGAGCTATTCTTCCTCCAAAAGTTTAAACGTAAGTAATGATTTTGATCTCTTCATTTCAAAACTTCAAAATGTTTAATAACTTTTTCTAAATAAGAAACAAAAAAGAAAAGAAACTTGTAAAATTTTAAAAAGTAGTACATAAAGGAAAATTCACAACTTCAGTATGATGTATGGGTGTGTCAGTCCAATTTGACTAATAGTGAGTATTTAATAGTGAATATAGTTGACTTTTTCTATTGGTGAATTGAATTTCTAAAAAGGCACTCTGAAAAATTTTATGCTATAAAGTCTCTGGAAAAGGTACCAAACATATAGTACTGTGATACTTAGATCTCTTAATGATTATTAATTTTAAAAGTCTACATGTATCTACATGTTTTATGATTTATTGTATAGTTAGTTACTTTTAATTGACAATTCATTTAAGTAATTGATTAGATTAACTGTTTGTGACTAGCGTATTTTATCTAAATTTCGTTTACAATATAGTAAACTTTCAGTACATTAAAACTCCATATAATGTGTTATGTTAAAAATTAAATAACAAAAGCAGTAGAATTTTCTTAGCCGATCAAAATGCTAAATTAGGTTTTTATACATGTCACTAACCATCACATATTTTCACTTACTACATGGTTTCCTTTATCATATTTAAATTGTTTATTTATACTTACATTTATTTTTGTCCTCCTATTATCTAATTTTATTTTAAGTGAATTAAGAATTCAGTAAACTGAAGCTCTTTAGTTTAATTGCAAAATTAATTTACATAATGTGTCTTCCTATTCTCTTATTTGTATGTTATAGAACTAATTAATCTTTATAATGATGATGAATTATTTGATACATTTTCAGACAACGTGGTATACCAAACGATTATCTCTCGCTTTGGCGTATAGACTATGTGAATTCAGTTTGATTCAAGATAAATCACCAGAATTTTCAAATTCTATGGAGTTTTTAAAAAACCGTGTTGAAACAATTGTTTATTCTGAGGAAATTTTGGAACAGGTTTGTTAGATATTTGCCTATTTATTTAGTATTTACATATTTATTCGTTTTTACTATTATCTTAGACTCTGAAAAACATTTATTCATTTTACATAATTTTTTTTTTTTTAAAGTCTATTTACATTATTTTGCAGATTGTTTCTTCAGGTCAGCATCTTCCAAAATATGGTCTTGGAGCATTAATCACTGTGAGTATGCTAATCAAATTTTAGTATCCATCTCATTCAGTGCAACACAGTATATTAATGAAGGGAAAATGTTTCAAATTAAGAGCTTTTTGACATATAAAATAATTATATGACTTATAAAATTTCATTTCAAATGATTTCTTCTTTAATTTTTTTAACTCATTTTATTTATTGTTTCTAACTACTGAATTGCAGATAAATTGTTGCCTTTTTTAGTTCTTCAAGATTTTTAATTATTTAAATTTAATCTTAACTAAAACTGGTGATTTAATGTATTTTTAAATTGTGCATTGCAGTATAAATTTTAATGAGAATATTTGATAAATAAATATGCAGTCAACTTGTTTTGAGGGAGAAAACAAGATATTAACCACTAGGATAAAATGTGTTGAAAAAATTTTGTTCTCAAAACAAGTTGATTACATTTGAAATTCTTAAGTTCCAGAAGCTTGTATTAATCAAATTAATTTTGCTTCATCATATGCTTTTCTAGTGTTCATAATGATAAAAGGCATGATGTTCATCAGAAGGACAAAACATCTTAATTATTCATCTTTTCCCTAAGGGAGAGTTTGCTTAAGACATGTTGATAGCATGTGTGCTTTAATAAAGTGCTTGTAGTTAGTGTTAATCAAATTAATTTTGCTCTTTGATTAACTTACTTAGAAAACATAATGTTGGCACAGTATGGTCAATGTCAGCTCTTATATCATTAAATTAATTATTAAATTAATTTAGACCTATCAGTTTGCAAAAGTCTAAATTAAAGTCTTGTCAAAATGATAGTAATGTTGTGAAACTTGTATAAGTTGGCCACCCACATTTTAACAGTTAATCAGTCTATTTAGCAACTGGTGCATTTGTAAAAAAATTATTTAATTGTTTTTACAAAATTAGTTTGTAATTATCAAAATCAAAAATCATCTACATGTGGTTATGGATTCATTGTCGAATCGTTATTCAATTTTCAGCTAATAAATTCAGATTATCATGTTAAATTGCTATGTTCTTATATTTATGTTCATTTGTTGAAAATGCATGAAATTTTTCTACTTATTAATTTTTGTTCCATTTTGGTAGGTGCAAAACATTTTTGGTCTGAATAGATGGTTTCGATAGCAGATACTCAAAATGAGCCTTGTTATTATTATTCTTCCTATCTATCCAGTACCCATTCTTATTTTATAAAGTAAGTTAGTTTTTGTATTTTTCTTTCATATAAAAATTTGGTTCATTGAAATTGATATTAATCTTTTGATAACTTTTATGAAGAGTAATGAGGCGCTTTAAAATATTTTCATTTTATTGTTAGAATTCAGATACTCTTGACTGCCTCTTATTTTTCAATATAAGAAAAGTAAAAATGTATTAAAAATTTTTGCTAATTAATCACATTTTAATTCATTATTGAAGTTATATATTTTTATATTATTATATAATGTTCTTTATTTATGGCGAATTTGTAATTGATATTTAAATTGTTTTTGTATAATAAAGGAAAAGTGTCCTCAATGTACTATCCTGTCAGACTTTTAACACTTACTGTATCAATCTATAATGTTTATCAGTGATTCAAACAAATGGTGATTTCTAATTTTAATATTATTGTGTAATTGTAAAAATTAGTTTTCATTTCCAATTACATAAACATTGTATTCTATATTTTACAATTAAAACCCTATTTAGAAAACATTTCATTTTATTAGCATTTTAATTTTGTTTAAAATTTGTTATTTTTAAACTTCTTAATAAAAGTTTTGGTAAGATATATTGGTGTCATATAGAAATATGCATGTTTCATAAATCTTTACTTCTAATATATATATTTATTTAATGTTTTCAGCCAGGAAGGCTAATTTTCTGAAATATGTCAAAGAAAAAAGCCATTTTCCTGATGAAGAAATAAAGTATCATAAGTTTTATTTTTAATTAACAGATGAATTTCATGTTTTGAAAGTGGACTTCATGTCTTAGTTCTATAGAAGTGCATTATTTCGTATATTTAGAATATGTGTAATATTTTTCATATTCTGAATATGTTAAAATAATTCTCTATATGTATAGTAACAATATATCTAAACAATATTACATCAACATTGTTATTGTTTATATGTAGGTTTATCATATTTTACTTTTTTTTAAAAAATGTTTTTTAAATTTAGGAATTTCTTTACATTTTTCAGAAATAATTTCCTTGTTTTTAGGAAAGAAATCACCTACTGTAGGAACACTGTCATATTAAAAACTTGAGCGCAAAACAAATTTTAAGTTTAGATATTAATTTGTTGGAAAAAAAACAATTAACTACTGGTGTCCTTTATATAAGCTGCATGTGACTATTTCGCTAAGCCCTTTAATTTGCACATTAATCAAATTTGTAATTATAGTACATTTCATAAAAGTAAGAAGCAAGAAACCTTGCAATTGTAATTATCTTTAAATTTGTGATTTTGTATCGATAAATTATGTATGTAAAATGGCAGCAGCATTTGCTGTTGCTTTTATTAATTTTTTCTTGTGAATCATTGTTTCCTAATAAATTTTAGAACTTGTTAACATTATCAGAAATGCTAATATATTTTGACCATCCTCTATAAAAATTGAAAAAATGCAAGTTTAAAATTTTTAATGTTTATCTATTCTGATTCAACAAAGAACTAAATAATATTCATGTTTTTTTTCAAACATTAAATTGTGTTAACTTCAGCAAAAAGTTCATAATTACGTCACAGCAATTAGTATATTATATGTGACCAAAAAATAAATCATGCTTATGTCATTTTTTTAAATGTGTATAGAACTTATATTTCTTTATAAGTTTTACTTTTAAAATATATGATTTGAAAATGCAAAAAATTTCTGTTGATTAAAAAATTCTATCACAATTTTAAAAAATTTTTAGAGGATCAATATTATTTTAAATTTATTGTATATTTTTAGATTTTTATTTTGAGTAATTGAAAAAAAAAATCTCTCTTTATTCCCTAATTAAGAGATACATTCTAATAGCTAGTATTTAAAAATATTCATTTGTGTTCCTAAAATTTAGAATTAAAGGGTATTGTTAATATGAAAACAAATTTTATTTGAATATACTACATGCTCTCTTGTATTAAAATAAACAAAATGTAATAAAAGATACATTGAAAAACTAAGTAGTTTTTTATTTTCATAACAAAAGAACAGAAATATATTTTTCTGGGCAGGGACAGTATGTAAGTTTAGAAGGAAAATATTAATTATACATATTTTAACATGTCATATTGTGCAAAGAGACTTAAAAGCTCAGGCATTTAAATAAAACAATATAGAAAAACCAAACTCTACAGTGAAAAAAAGTTCCGTTTTTATAATATTTGTATTATGTGTTGTTTGGCAATACCCATAAATCTATTTAAATCTTTTCCTTCAAAAAGAAAAAACAGATTTTTTGGATTTTGCAAACTGGTGTGCATATCAGTATTTTTATTCCAAATCAACAGTCAAAAAAGACATTGAAAACATATTAAGTGGATGAACATCTTAACCTTAAAAGCCTCACCTCTACTTTCATGTCGTTTGAGAGCATTCACTATGTTCATGTTTCTTTCCTTTTTGTGTGCTCAGTGTGAGTAAAAGCATTATGGATAATATTCTCAAGGAAAACTTTACGAACTTTTAGTTTCTTGACAAATGAAAACAGATTTGCTTGACTCCACCTCGTCTAACCATTTGAGCTTTTATCATGAAATAAAAGCATTAAAAATGCTGTGATGGATTAATAAACTAGAATCTAAACACGCAACTTCTAGAGATGCTATTATAAGTTAGGTTTATAATTATACTTTTAATCGTTTTATTTATTTAAAAAAAACATGTAGAACTACTTCAAAGCAGTTATAAATTCATTGCTTTTGAAGTCCAAACACTTTGGTTAAAAGCATAAATTAATAGGATTGATAATCTTCTAAAAGATTTAAGGTGGAAAAAAAATGTTTTTTTTTTTAAAGCTGATATATATTACATGTGATGCATAATTTATGGAACTACTTGAGTTATAAAGATTTTAACAAATCATGTAATGTCACTCATTATTGGAAGCTTGATATAAGCTTAAATTTAATTTCAATATCGTCGAAATTCCTTCCAAACCTTTCACATTAGCTCATCTTGATGCTCTGGAATTGTGTCTCATTCATATGAATACTGAAGTTAATGGCACAAATACCTCCATAGCACTTGGAAATGCATCCTGTCTTGATTTGCCTCACCAGCAATTGCAGTTTTTATAGTTTTAATTTTTACTATTATTTTATTTTTTGGTGGCAACTTTGCTTTTTCTTTTTTTAATTTGGTGAATCTTGAGGATAAGCACCTATTTTTGAGCACTCGATATTTGTCTACTTTTTATACCTTTTAAATTTTTGAATCAAGTAAAGTTTTTACATTATGAATCAAATATAATTGCAATACATGTAACATTTGCCTGTCAAAATATTTTAAGTTAGCTCAGTGACCTTAATCCCTTACCAATTTTTTTGAAGAAAAAAAATTACTTATTATTTCATTAATAAATACAAGGAACTAAAACAAAACATAATACACAAGTTCCAAGTTGAAATTTTAATTTTTTTATGTGTAAAAAATATTTGATTTACCATCAGTTTACTTGTATGTTCACATCTTCATAATCTGAAAAATCATCTACATTTTTGCTCACAAACGCCTTTTTTTTTCTATGTAAATTCATCAACCATCGTATATACAATTGTACAAAACACGCCTGCCAGTCCCACAAATAGCAAAACTCCCAAACAAAAATTGACAAACTTCCAATCACAGCAGATTATTATTATTTTCTGTTTTGCTTCCGGCCAAATAAAAACATGATAAAACAAAACGTATTGACGATATCTGCTACGCCCGAGTTTACTCGGGATAATAAATATTTGCAATATATACGACTCGGGATAACCGGGGAAGCGGTTAAGTGCGTAAATATAGTGAATTCGCGATAACTCGAATCTGATAGGACTGACGAAAAACTTCGACATATCGGAAGTTCGACTTACCGTTAGTTTCGGTTTTGGACTTTCAAAATATTGTCGGTTTATTTAATTAATGCTTTTTAATTACAAATGTTCTAAATGCTTACAATATTTAAGATCATTTTTCTGACAAGCCATTTACGATAAGACTGTTTGAAGCACTTTATGATACCCTGGTCCATCGGCTGCAACTTTGCTGTTGTGTTTGGTGGGAGAAACTGCAAGTGTACGGCTTTCAAATTAGGTAGATCACTATGCGCTGTGCATTTATCCATTAAGAGAATCACTTTTCTTTTTTTTGGCGAAGAATTTCCGATCCAATTTTCTTACAGTCTTCAAATAAAACTGATGTCATCCAAAACTTTTTGTTAGATTTGCAATCCAAAGGATACGTTTTTACATTCTTGAAACATCGGGGATTTCGGTATTTACCGATGACAAGTAAGGGCAATTTCTCTGTGTAANAAATTTTAATTTTTTTATGTGTAAAAAATATTTAATTTGCCATCTGTTTACTACCCCAAATTAACTCGGGCAAATGAAAAAAGTTAAATATTAGTCTTCGTGTATGTTCACATTTTCATAATCTGAAAAATCATCTACATTTTCGCTCACAAACGCCTTTTTTAAACTTTTTTTTTCTATGTAGATTCATCAACCATCAATTGTACAAAACACGCCTGCAATTGTACAATTATACCAATGTACAATTGTACAAAGCACGCCTTCAGTCCCACAAATAGCAAAACTCCCAAACAAAAATTGACAAACTTCCAATCACAGCAGATTATTATTATTTTCTGTTTTGATTCCTGCCAAATAAAAACATGATAAAACAAAACGTATTGACGATATCTGCTACGGCCGAGTTTACTCGGGATAATAAATATTTGCAATATATACGATTCAGGATAATCGGGGAAGCGGTTAAGTGTGTAAATATTAATCATTTACTATCTTCAGGAAAAATATTTTTTTGTTTTATTTATATAAACACCTTAAAAGAAGATGTAAATTTAATGCAAAAAAAAAGCTCCGAACAAAAATTTCAGCTTTGATATATCGTTTACGGGTAAAAGTGTTTACATAAAACTTTAAATTTTTTATACTTTACTTAAAAACCTTTTCGTTTTTATATAAAACTTTAAANCATTTACTATCTTCAGAAAAAATATTTTTTTGTTTTATTTATATGAACACCTTAAAAAAGATGTAAATTTAATGCAAAAAAAAAGCTCCGAACAAAAATTTCAGCTTTGATATAATATCTTTTATGGGTAAAAGTGTTTACATAAAACGTTAAATTTTTTATACTTTACTTAAAAACCTTTAAAACTTTAAAATTGCATACTCTTATAAAAATATTCTTGTTATTTAAAAAATTTGCAACACATTGAGAATCTCTTTAATTAACCATAGCAGATATAGATTTGATATACGTCTAAAAAGATTTTGTAAATATACCGGGCACGTGACTGTTAGAAAAATTATATGAAAAATTTTAATAGCATCATGGTTAGAAAATTTTGCTTCCAAATGACGCAATTTTTTTTCAATGTGTAAATTTTTTTTTAATGTTAAATATTTTATGTTAAAGAATTATATTCTAATATTATGGGTGGCACTTTCGCATTTTGAAAGAAAAAAAATAGCATGTTTCTGGCTTTTACCTGTTTTGTGAAATCAGATTTAAAAAGACACAAAATCTGAGGCAATAACTGCCAAAAAAGAAGTCAATGTCAAAACCATGTGAAATTACGACGAAACCACGCTAATCAGACACATTCAAAACTGATTATCCAAAAGTAAGATTCGAAATTTGCATGCATGTTGTAATAATTTTTAAAATCTTATTAAGAATACCAGGAATTTTAAAACCACATTGAAATCAGTAATCAGTCTATCAAAAAAATCTGAAATCATCGCATCAAATAGGAATTATTCGATTTCCGTATTATGTCATAATAAATATTGTATGTAAAAAAATCAGGATTTCAAAACCTTGTGCAAATCAATTTCCATAACTGCCAAGAGAACGATCGAAAATGCGCTATGGAATCATGGTAGCAAAAAGCAATTACTCAAAACTTTAATTTGAATTTCGCAAGTCATAATATTGTATGAAAAAATATCAGGTGTTAAAAAACCGTGTAGAAATTAGTAGCAATAACTGCAAAATACCACACGCATTTATAAGGAAATTAATGCAAATCGAGAGCATTGATAAAAGTGATTTGTCAAATGAGAAATTCGAAATTTCCATTATCAACTTTATAATTCTTTTGATACAAATTGGAATATGCAACAAAATCCACACTCATTGAAGGTGTTATGTTGTGGGAAGATTTAAAATTAGCCTTATCACGACACTATTTGAATAAAAGTTTTTTTTTTTTATTTTTTAAATCAGGAAAAGACCACATTTGGTGCGAACAATTTTTTAAACTTTTTAGGAATTACCTTTTATAGTATCAGTTTTTATAAGCCTGTTTTTGTCTCGTTTTTCTTCAAAATTTTGTGCTTTTGATATTTAGCCGAAGTTGCATTTTGCTCAAACAAATCCAAGTAAAAATATTGCTAAAGTGTATTTACGAGAACTCTGGCACAAAAGGGGCTTGCTTGTTGATTCGGGTGAATAAATTTTTCATTTCAAAATATGTGAAAATTTTGAAATTAAAATTTTAGATTTATGAAATTCCATGCAACATTTGTCGGAATACAAATTTTTTATTTGCGGAAGGCAACAAAAAAGTGGGCTTTGATGTGGTTAATAGCTTTAACGACATCAATCAATATGATATTAAGTTCCGATAACATTTTTCAGCTTTCCAGAATTTCTCTGTGAATAAGACAGTGCATAGATTCACTCACAAATGCAAACTTCTTACGGTTGGCCACAAAATATGATGCTTTTGAGTTCATTCTTCATTATTGATGTGGTGACCCTTAAATTTCTTCTGTCCTTCATATTCCAGTTTTTTTTCCCCCCAACTTCTCGTCTATGTGAAGTTGGGCAAATCCAAAAGAAATACACCACAGTAAATGAAATGGAGATGATTTAATGTTCCTTGGACGGTCCGGCATAATTTAATCCATGGACCGGTATCACTTTGAGGTTAGGGGGCACTGCCCTAAACTACTGAATAAGCAATTTCAAAATTGAGAATTTTATCATTTTTAAAAGTTACCATGCTTATTGAAAATGACAATTTTTAAAGACACATTTGGCTTTAAGTCTTATGTGAAAAAATTTTCTCCTTCAAAAAAAAAAGTCTTGTTGTAGAAAATATAAATATTTTTTACCAATGTACAGAAATAGGCCTACATTATTAAAAAAAAAAAAAAGAGTAGCAAGCTGCAATATTTTTTGGAGGAGTGGGATATTTCTTTATAGTTTTTATAAATATAAAATAGGTTTTAAGGGATGTTTTTAATACTTTAATAAAACTGATTTCTTGTACATCTGCACCAGATGACTGGCAATTTTTTTATTTTGCCAACCACTTTAATCACATATTGTATGCAGAATCAAATATTACAATCATATTAAATTCAAAGTTCACTTACATTAGGTAATTTTTTAACACAAAACATGTATTTCATGAGTAACTGCAGATCTATATCAAATTTTATCTCCCAGATAACTTTTGTTCAGAGTCTGTACTCCATGCCGAAAACAGTATCAAATATTGCAACCAAGCTCACTTGTATTAAGTATGTAATCATTAGCATAAGGTATGCTGGGGACATGTATACCTGGCAGTGGCACTTAAAAAGATACCATGATATATACCTTGAAGTTTCTCACTTGTAAAATGTGTATCCCATTTCTTTTCTTCGCAACACCTTAAAATTATACCAATCGTTAATCACTGTTTTAGCAAATGCAGTCATTATAAATCTTTTCACATACATCAAATTTACTTTTCAATACACAATGCACACTCAACATTGCCATGCTCTATTCATAACACAACACCTCGAATTAAAATTACAGTCTTGCTTTCAGATGTAGGTGCATCATATCAAAATTAATTTGAGCTATCTTAATTTATTCAGGTACTGTAATGTTTGAAACAAAACATCTGGGCAATTCTTATAGCAACAAGTGTACTGAACTTACAAGCAATCGACCTGAAACTTATAATGGACATGGATAACGATTTTACACAGCTCTTCAAATTTAATAGGAGAATCCACTACTAATCAAAACAACTGGGCAATGGACTAGCCAAATTTTCATTTTATGATATAGTTAAGTTAACTGTTAACCAAGCTTAAGATAGAACCCATTTACATAACTTTAAAGACGAAACCTTTGCCCTTTACTTCCCCTTCTCTCCCATCATTGCATTGCACTTATTTGCATCCACAAGAACTATCGAAATCTCATTTTGGCAGTTATTACTGTTGATGTTGGAGAGAGAAAAAAATCTTAAAGTGCAAATGCATAACAATTCAACCCTAATTTTTTAATATTTTATGTCAAAACAAAACTTTCTTTATTATATGGGTCATTCTCACGAAAAGTGTCATTTTTCAGTTCATAAAAACCCAAAAAAGTAAAGTGAATAAAAAGCTCTGAAACTTTTTATGTTNGTTGAATTTGTGAAGGTACCGCTAAATGGTAGTAAATTCGGCTTGGACAGACCCCTGTATATATATTTGAAATTTTGCATTAAGTTAATAAGCTTTATTGAAAGACTTTAGAAAATACACTATTAACAGAAAAACCAAACTGTTAATAGAAATTGATTTTGTTAATTATCAAAAGTAGTATAATTATCAAAAGTATTAATTATAACTATATTCTAGCATATGTTTAAGCAACTCAGAATCAATAATTATGAAAATTCGTGGAAAAAAATTTTTAAAATCAAAAATAGTTAACTTTTATTAAAACCTAGACATATTCAATTTCGCAATTGTACACTTTCATCAGCAAGTTAAAAGGCAGTAATGTTAAAAATAAGACATTATTTAATCTGACATAGCTTGCATCATACTTAAGATATAAATCTAAGGTTAATAGATAAAATCAGCTAAAATAAAGACAAGAACTCTACCAATCATTGCTGGTTCGATTTTTCTTCACCTCATATTATTCATAAATGTAATAGTGTTGATCTAGTTAACATTCCTGCCTTTTAAATTCATAATCAAAAACTTTAGTGAATGATCTTGCTGCAGCACCATTTTTGTCAAATATTTAGAAATCATTAATTTTTTAATCTTCTGACATTAACTTGAACTATATATTGATCTCTTTACATGAAGTAATTTCTATCTGATAATCTCAGTTTTTACCTCCCTTTTAGCCTAATAATGGTATGATTGCACGAAAATGAACATAGGATTTAATAAAATTTTACCATTTGTGATTTTAAACGTTTATGAATAAATTTTAATATCGAAAAAAATTATTCTAAGAATTTTACAATAATTATGATTTCTGAAGTTGATGAAGTTAAAAATTGTAAAATTATAAAGTACATTAGAAAAAATTATAAATAAATTACCAAGATCAAAACCAATTTTATAATATTTTAATACATCACATATTATAAATATTTCAATCATCAATAGTAACTTTCAATGCAATATAACAGTTGCTTATATTGTTTTATGATGAAAATACAACAAACTTTAATCAAGTTATTTGATTAAAAAATGGCTTGATTTCACATTATACTTTTTTAGAACTGAAAATATATCAACATTTCTATTTAATGAAGAGCAAAAGGACAGAGTAATTGCATACAGTTTGTAATATCACATTTCATTGCATATAATTTATAAACATTGTTTATTATAGCTTTTCTTGACTTTGCAAAATATTATTTGTCCAATAAATATTTAATATCAATTTTCCCTCACCCTTTCTTTAAAACTCCAGAACACATTATAATAAATATATTGCATAAATGTTTCTGCATTCAGCTTATTTTATCCTACATATTTCTAAAAGGCAACAACATTCCCTAAATAAAGCATTGGAACACTTCAATAATGTCCTTCTTCTAGGTACCCTTTTATCCTAGATGGCAAAGGTAATTTTTGTATATGATCATACCTAGTGAATTGTCTGATAACAAAGCGACATAAATATTGCAATGAGCGAACCTGAGTAAACCTAGATATTGGCTTAGTAAGGCGCACTGGAAATGACGGAGAACCTGGAGACCTACTTCGAGAATAACAAAAAACACCAGATTGGGAAAAACACATGGACTGTTGTATCAGTTCAACAATGGAGGCATGACCTTCAGGCTCTGGTTGAGCATAAAAGCTAAATAAACCATTACTATGTTCAATTCGAGTATGAAGTGTTTTACCATGAGAACGGAAACTCAAGCTCAATATATATCGATCGTCAGAGCTATCTCGCACTAAGAAAGCTCCATCGGGTTGGTCTATTAATTTTGATTCAGCTTCACTTCTATTGATGGGTCCCCAATACCAGCCATATTTTGATAATTTATACAATTCCTGAGTCAAATTTCCGACCCTAGGAACGACTGAACTGAGGGTCAATTCGGAAGATTCTGTAAGAATTTTATTAGGCGCACTAGACAAAGTGGTTTCATATGTTGTGTTTGCTTCTGTGAGCTGATTACTGTTTAAAGTATTAAAAGATGTGGAAAGGTTTCTCTCAGGTTCGGCAAGACTAGAGGCAATTTGGTTTACATCACAGGTTAAATTGGACATACTACAAGATGTACATGAATTGAGTTTTGAGCAAGAAGGTGCAGATTTCTTTGTTTCATAATCTGAATTTGACTTTTGAATTCTCCCAAAACAGGAGCATATTTCCGGATCATCGGAGGAACAAGGGAGCAATTCTGCCACATCATCGGCTTTGTCAGACAATTGATGATTTTGACACCTTAAAATTGATGAGGGTACTGGCCATATGTTATTTTTGTCCCCTTGTTTTATTTTACGGCTTCTAAAGTGATTCGCACAAGTGGTTTGTGTTTCACAATTCTCGCTGTGACACTGACACACATTCGACATTGAATCTGATCTAGGTCTCGCATCGCAACGCTTGTTACGGTTTGTTTTCTTCCATTTCTTTTTAATAGAAGTCAGTATATTGCTTTTATTGTTATCAGAGCAATTTTTGTCACTGGATGATTGGTTTTCAGAATCGATTTTATTACGGGTTGCATTATCAAAGGTACTTTCAGAAGAGTTGACGCCATTTGCATTGACGCCCTCTAAGCGTAAACATTGCTGTACTTTTCGACTGACTTCTAAAGGACTAAATCGAGATAATCCAACTCTTTTCATTATAATGGGTTAATAATGTTTAATCATTTTAAAATATAGTTACGCAAAAGCATTCAAAAATATATTTATTCAAATATCAACAGAGACAACAAGACAAACCAACACACAACATAAGATTTTAGACCATTGCCAAAAATAAAAAATATAATGCTTAAAAATAAAACTTTCGATTTAATTCTACTCATTCGCGGTTTCGATTTATTTGTTCAAGCATTTTTTAAGATAATTAATGAATATTATCGATTTTGTTATGCATTATTTTAAAATTTCTTTATTCTCATATCACTATGAAGGATCTGGCACAGTTAATGGGCACGTTCCGATATTCGCACTGATGACACGAATTTCAGCACCGATTATTCCAAAATGAAAGCTGGTTACACCAGTGCACCGCACCAGTTGTTCGTTTATATGCCTCTGAGTGCTAAGATTTATTCAAACTGGTGACGTCATTACCTTTCTAGTTTACAAGCTGCACTTGACTTCTGTCGAGATCACTAGTGTTTTACAGTATTTTTTAAAAGATTTTATTAAAAATTTACAATAGAACCATTTTTAATAACGAAATTAAGCTTTCTTGTATTAAATATAAATCTAATTTAAATATTAGAAGTTTATTATCTAGATGAATGTGTTCTCGTGTTGACATTAAAAAAAACATCAATATTTTATTTCTGATGTTAAAGTTTGTGTGTGTGTGTGCTTTCTTTCTTTTTCTTATTCTCAACATAAGATCTTTATCAAAATTTTGGTTTGTGTGGACGTAAAAAGCTTCACTTCACTTTCACTTTCACAATTCATCAAAATAATTTTAATTGTTATGATTTATAAATCAACTATAGTTCCATTATTAATTTCAATTTCTGTCAGAATAACTGTTGAAGTTTCACTTTAAAATTTTTTCACATATGATTTTGCAATTGAAATACAATTATTACATATTTAAAGTTTATTTGCTCATAAATATGGCACCATATATCATCTGTATCAAAATTACAGCTACATTAATGTTTCCAAATTCACGTAATCAAATATTAAAATTTATTTCGACTATTTGTCATTGACATTTACGCTTTTACTTAGCTATATCCAGAAATAAATAGACCATGTGTTAGATTTTCATTGCTGTTTGGCTAACAATGGGAGGCTTTTCAGAGGTTCCATCTCATGTACTACAAATGATATCAAGTTTATATTTTCAAAGACTTTATTAAATTAAGATAAATTTTCCATTGTGAGGAAATTCATAATAAAAGTAACATTATTATTTGTTTAAAACAAATTAATTTATGAAAATTGCACTATATTTGCATAAAAAAATATAGCTTAAAGTAAGCTAAATATTATACAATTATACATAATTCCTTTTTTTTTTCTTGTGTAAAGTGAATTTTGATTGTTTAAGTCAAAATTCATCCATGGAAAAAATATAATACTCTATACATGGAAAAAAATATTAAAACCCAATTGCTGTTGGAATCTACATAATAAGTAGTTAAAATAGCTATTCTTTTTAATGCTTCTTATATATGAAATAAAATGTTTTTAAATTAAATAAGTTGTGAAAAATATTAAAATATTTTTATGCAACTAAATTGTTTGGAATGTTTATTATTTTCACTAAAGCAATGAATAGCACATAAAGCAATGACACTAATACTCTATTGTATTGCGTAATGGGGGGGGATAGTGTAAACTTCCTTTTTCGTTGTAGAAAATATTTAAGACAGCCCCTTCATCAGTGGTTACTATTATATTACTATATTTATTTATATAAGTGTGAATTTAATGTAATTTTCGTCATAACTATTGCAAATTTATAAACTAATCTTCACGTTTAATAAAATAAAATATTTGTGTTTTTCGCGTGTAGGTGTATGTATGTCTGTATACCCAAGGGCGCCGGCAGAATAATATAAAAGGGGGTGCAACCCTCTAACAAACTACCCTCCCCTTCCCCCGAAAAAAAATTAAAATATTCTGCTATTACATTTTGTTTTGTTATTACATATACTTTCATCTGTTCATTTTTTCAAAATACATTTCTTCATTGTTAGCAAGATATTTAAAAAAAAGTACGAATTTCTTGTACTTGCAAATTTTGCCCAGAGGCGATCGCGATGGCATAGCTACTGACTTTGAAACACAAATAACTACAAACAGTAGTTTCGTATACTAACGTGTTTGTGCACGCTTAACATTATTTATTGTGTTGATGAAGTTTTACAGTTGCGAGAAGTCAGCTTGTGTAATACACCTTTGTTAAACTGAATAACTGATGGAAAATATAATATTATTTACATTTTATTAAAGGAAATTTAAAAATATAGCTTAGATATCTGCCAAGTTTGTGAATGCTCAGTGTGCATAAGAAAAGAATCAAAGATGACTCAGAATTCATTGAAAAAGTTAAAAACAGATTTGGACAGCAAACAAGACGATTACAATTCTTGTTTGATTAAACAATTTTTTAATTGTTATGTATCAATAATTACTTAATTATTTGTTTT